GAGTCTCCCTCCTGTGGTATTCATACTGACATTTATCACAACTCTGCATCTGAATCTTTGTGTACACATTTGGTGGGGTAAAATGCAACTGCTGGGATGGGATAATAAAATTCATAGGTGGGACACAATTTAATGCATTTAAATTTTTTTCATATGTCAGGAAACAAGATCAAATGACACCAAGTCCATGAGGTTTACGACCCTTTTTGATTACTTTTGGGTGCCAAATGATTGTAGGTGACTCAAGAGTTCTGAAATATGATGGAGTACCTGCAGCAATTTTATTACCTAAGGATGCAGGAGAAACATGTTTTTCTACTTAATTTTTTTTTACCTAAGGAACAAACAAAATTCCGGTAACCTACATATAAGCATGACAGAAAATTATTCCGAAGTGATATATTCTTGCAAACAAATTCTTGCATAACTGGTGACGTCCATTTTGAAAGTTCAAATTAGTGGATACAAAGTGACTACTTTGTCAAAATGACCTGTCACTGGGCTGGGGTTATTATCAGAACTGGCTTTTCTACAACAAATATGATCTGTATAAGGTTATCTTGGGTCAGAAGTCCCGATACAAATCATTGTATAGATAGCACAATCCTATCTCCCAATGGATTAAACTGTCCCACATTCCTAGCACACTGGCTGCTACCTGGGGTGGGCTGTAAACACAGTGTAGGCCATAGATGTTCCTTGTCAGTGACTATGCTCACAAACACACAGATATACCAATGGTTCAGCTATGCAGTTATCTGTTCCTGTCTTGCTGAGAAGAGCTTCTGACTCTGAGATACGGCCTATTTGCTTTATCATTTTTGTCACTTCAAGTGTTTAGATGAACTGGTGGTAGATTTGCACTATCTATTGTTATCCTGGCCTTTGTTTTCCGAATTATTGGGACACCTTCGTAGGAATGGCGCCAAGGTGTTTCGAGGTTGTCTCACGTTGACTCAATGTCCTGAACACCTACTGTTTTCTAAAGTATAGTGTACTTTTTAGGGGGATTTGAAAAATAATTAAACACACAAACATATTCTTTGTGCAGTTTTCTTGCTAAGCACTCTGAATGCATAAAACTTCTCTTTAGTTCTCCCTCCAATTAATAATTTTCAAGGCTTTAGGGCATTATGGAAAAGTTATCTGAATGTGAAAGAATATTATTGTAGACGATATCAGAAATAATTTTATTTTTTTGCTGTCAAAGGCTTTTGTACTCAAGGAAGACTTTGAGGAGGAATATAATTGTTCCCAACTGTGGGAAGTTCTTCATGCAATACCTTGTGGTTGTTATGATGGTGATATTGTGATTATGACAAGGGGTAGATTGTTCCAGTATTTCACTGTCTGTCATAGACAGGGAAATCTGACACGGAATTCACCCCTTCACCTTACCCAAAGACCGGCTGAAGAGGTTTGAACTGCCACACATTTGAGTATTTGAACACAGAGAAGATTATATTCAAGTTGAATTTATTAGAAAAAAAATCATTGTACCCCCGCATATTATTGCAATATCTATAGAACTCGTGAAACTGTTAAGCCTCTGGGGAGATAAAATGAAGTTTTATAAGAAATCCCAGCGGCCCAACATGGCCTTTAAATGAGAAGACTTTTATTGAATTTAAATTTCTGTTTTCTTTGATCTTTAAAGCTCAATTCAATCATAAATTCTTTTCATAGGCAATTATCTATATTTTAAAGGAGATAATTGCTTTTTTTTTAAACTAATGTTTCATCGTGAAATGATTTACTTTTCAGGGGTATTATCTGGTCAATTTTTTTTATTTAACACTCTGTACTTGTAAATGCTGCCAGTACAGAGACTTAAAACTTTCTTCTTCTTACACTCCAGTAAAATCGTTTAGAATAAAGAAAAAACAGATTAAAAATTGAGAAATTGACAGAAATTACAAAATGACTCTTGATTGAAAATTGCACTGATTTTTAAAGTGGTATCATTTTTAAAAAAAACACAAATGGATGGAAAATTAGTTATTCTTTAGTAGCTAATTCAATCAGCCGCAGAGTTCTTCTCCCATCTCGGAAACCTTTGGCAGTAAAATCGGAGAAACCTCTCCCAAGGGAGCACGGAGAGCCTTAGTAGCTAATGGAAATACACCAAAGCGGGCCCCCAAAACCTGAAGTCAAAATCTCTAAAATTTACAGAAACAAGGCAATTCCAAGGAAGAAATGCCTGTAATATTTACTGTGTGTTTTTTTTAGCAGAATATTGATAAGATGTATGATTGATTAGTTGTGCTTTGGGGATAGTTTTTTTTAAAGGTATGTCATAGGTCTTGCCTCAACATTGATGTATAAGTTTGTCTGACATAATACCTTCCGTTAATTAGCGCTTCAGTAATTATGAGGTGGGATTTAGTTCCTTTGTTTAGAATTAATCAGAATTTTCTGTTCCCGTGCAGCGGATGGTGTTGATGTGTAATTTCACACCTATCTTAGCTTCCTGAAATGATTAACATCACACCTATTGCATGTCATGTCTACATTTTTGTGGGAATTGGGGGGAGGGAATTGAACCCAATTTTATGTTAGCATGCTGGTGTATTAACACATTCCTGTCTGCTCATTATCGTGTGATACATATTGTAAATGGGATTCTTGTTGGAATTTTCTTAATCACCTCTGAAAAGATGTACATGTGGAATAAATGTTATTATGCATTTGAATGATGAATGACAGCTCATCTTGATAGATGTGGTCTTTTATAACGTATAAATCTTATAATGAGGCAGAAATGATTTGGTTTAATTGTATGACTCTCGTGCAGTAAACAATTCATATCAGTTCAAACTATCGTCATCGGCATACTTAGGAATTTTTATTTCCATCACTACTTCCCCACCCCCTCCCACCCTGTCTCACCCCATCCCCACCAGTGTATGGTCCAAGGATTCACGATTTGAAAGGCCATTTCAGGTCTGGACTGCAATGAAGAGAGCAAATTACCCCATTAATCAAATGGACTGTGGTCACTCTCAATAATACTCCAGGCAAAGGTCACAGTTATAAATAGATTTAGAGGTTGTATTTTAATAAAACATATATTAAGCACAGTATTATTTGGATTTGTCTTAAGCTTTCAAGAAAAATTAATCGCAACTATTAATGTGTAAAAATATAAGCATAATCTGTGCATCAATTAGTTGAGATCTCATTACTTAAATAGGCACTCTAAGTCTTCCGCAAATTAGAAAGGTTAAATTTGTCAGGGAATGTAATAGAAAAAACACATTATATAACCAAGTGTAAGCATTGGTGAGTATACTGTCATGTTAGTCAGGGGCTATGGAGAATCAATAGTGATAAATTTGTATAGAATTGATGAAGCTGCCCCTATAATTGGTCTCTTGTTGAAGTTCAGTTGATATCTGTATATTGATAATTGAATTTGCTAGGGATGATCGTATCCCTGGCTGGATTTATGATCTACCATTCCTATACTGGAAATTCAAATGAAATCTCCTGCTCTATCTATACAAACAAGTCAAATGGATTGGGGTGAAATATTAATGTCAGGGGTATATGGTTACAGTTAAATTATGTGAAATCAGTGCAGTTTAATCAATTGTTTTATTTTTTTTCAATTTAATTATATTTTTTTGATTCTGAAAAATCTTTCCTTAATTTTGGTTGTTAATGGATTGCACTTTGAATAATCCATAAGAAATACAAATTTGAATTCACACATTGGTATAAACAGACTAAAATAATGTGCCATATTGATACAAGAACAAAGTAACAAAGTCTTGTAGCTGCTTTTCCAAATAGTAAATGCATATATACACAAGGCAGGAGGTAGTATATATTCAATTTAGGGGAAATTGAAGGGTCATTATTATTTTTGAGACTAAAGCAATTGGCCTTTCATCTTGGACAGCTAGTAGTTTGATTTTCCCATCATTGCCTTGGCATGTTTTGTAAATGGATTGGAATATTGAACAGGGCTGAAGGAACTGTCAATATAGAGCATTGCACAGTTACAACAATATTGACCTCTGTGTAACAAGTTTTCCTGCTCTCTGACTGTTTTTCTTTGGTATTTATCCAAGAGTATAAATACACTTAGAACCCATTTTCATAGAGGCTAATATGGTAAAAAAGAAAAAAAATTCAATTGAGTGCTCCAAAACAAGTTCTTTTGAGAAATTGTTTGTGTATATGATATGGAGTCTGTTAAAGGTTAATCTCGTCTGAGTTTTGATTTTTTTTGGTTTGCAGCCTGCATTCCATTCTGAAGTTAATTTAAGGTTTCTCTTGCCACTTGGACATGGTTACTGTCAGAGGAGATTAAAGCACACAACACTTGCATCAAAGAAATACCAGGGTATCTCAGATGCATTTGGCGTATCAGTATGGGATAGCAGCACTGACAGTGACAAAGTAGTATTTGAATTCTCTTTCCACTGCCAAAACCTATCCATGTCCAAAAGATAGAAGGTGTTTACATTATGTATCAGTAATCTTATCCTACATGTAAGGATGTTGATAGGGTTTTGTCCATAACAGGGTGTTTGAAGTTTGCCTTCTGACTGAGGGCCCTTTATGGTATAAGAATTAATTAAGGTGTGAGAATTGACTTGTGACTCGATTTGGTTGGATCAGGGGGAATTTTAGCCATAATCGGTTGTGTGGTACTCATGAATGCAAGATGAATTGCTGACATTTTTATCAGATGGGGTCCCAAGACATATGTCTGGCTAGGACAAGCCAACCTTTTAATTTTTTGACTGCTGTTGTTGTAAAGATATAATTAAGAAAATTGCTTCTTTGATATTTATAGTGTGCATGCTGTCCCATCATGAAGCTAAATAAAGAACATTTTATTATTAACATCTAAGAATAGACTTTTAAAATAACCAAGTTCTGAATAACACCCATCATGAATTGATAATTTACTACATTTATTGTGCTAGAAATAATGATTATGAAAAAACGTTAGACTTAAAACTTAATTATGTTTCTTTATTTTTCAGTGGAAAGAAGGCAGTTTTAGAGACAACGGGAACATCATCCGAATTTTCTCTTCCTGCTCTGTTAGTAGTTCAACAGTTGACAACTGGTTAAGGACTCCTTATATCCATCGACAAGGAGCCAACAGTCTACGCATAGAAATCCGATTTTCCATGCGGCGTTGTGTTCAACATTCAGATCCAAGCACCATCAAACAGTGCAAAGAAACTTTTAATTTGTATTACTATGAAGCTGATGATGACATTGCAAATGCACACATGCCAACATGGGACTCAGTGTCATATACACACATTGATAAAATCGCAGCAGACAATTTATATGACTCAAACTCCAACATCCAACTTAACACTGAAGTTAGGGATGTACCCTTAACCCCCGGAATGGGAGGTGTATACATTGCATTTCAGGACCTCGGAGCATGTGTCACTTTGATCTCTGTAAAAATTTCATACATTATGTGTCCGAATATCACCGTCAATTATGCATTCTTCCAAGAAACCCCTGTTGGTCGATTGAACCCTGGATTTGAGGAACACACCGGGGTCTGTGTAGCAAATGCCGCGGAAAAGACCCGCCCCAAGTATCTGTGTCGGAGTGACGGGATGTGGACCTACCCCACAGGGCTGTGTCAGTGTCTATCTGGCTATGAGGGGCAAGGAGGAACAGCGTGTGTGGGTGGGTATCTATTTATAGTTATAATTAAAATAAAAATTCATCATAGGTATTTTTAGCCTATGAAATCTTAAAGCTCAGTCTTTGAATACCATTAGAAGTAGATGGCTTTAAAACAAAAAATCAGAATATTGAATCAATTCATTGATTCCTTGAATCAATTAATGCTGTGTGTGGTTAGTCTAAATATTGCTCACAAACTTTACCTCCCATGAAAAACTGTGGCAGTCTTTTCTTTCCTAATGAATTTATTAGTGTATGTGCTTGTGTAGAGCACTTTTGGTGGTGAAGTCAGCAGTTTAAAAAAATAATTGGGCATGCATAAGGTTAATTTGTTTGCTTTGTTATCAGTGATAACAACACTAGAGGCATGGGGAACAGCACCAAGAGGTCGTTCAAGGTCAGGCTAATTAAAATAAATGGCCCTGCATGTTGGAACATATGTTTACATCAGTACGGAGTTGTGAAGACAGTAGCCTCATAAAAATGGTGCAGTTTGGCACTATCAGCAGGCATACTCTAAAACCTGGCCTGGCCCCTTTGGCCTGGCCTGGCCTCTATCTTGGCCTCTAAATTGGCTTCAAACCAACTTTTGGCCTGGCCTCAAAAGTTGGCCTGGCCTCAGATTTGGCCTCTGTAAAATTTTTTGGCCTCACTCAAAAATCAATTTCTTTTTCAGAATTTGATTGATTTCATTGATTTTTTATTGGTTTCATTTTTTCAATGATTAAGCAGGTAAATAATATATTTCTGTTGATATGTAAATGCTTACATTAAAAATAATCGTGTACTACCACCAATTTGATTTATTTTATTGATTATCAATCGATCAGTGTACACTTATTTCATTTTATGATTTGATGACAGGTATTTTATACTGACACTACCTACACTCTTGCTTAATTATTTAGAAAAAAGTATAAGAGTTTATTTTGTGTTTTCCAAATTGTGCACATTGAAAAAAAATATATAGTAATAATTCATGTCAAATGTCATTAATAGCTTTGAAAATTCCCACTTGTTTAGTGATGAATCATCACCTTTCACACACTGTAGAGAGTTGTGTTACTGTTATGCCTGCATCATCTTAAATGTGACATATAAATACAGGCACTAAAGAATTTTAAAATAAATATACATGTACTACCATATACCAATGCAGATACCAAAATGTTTATATTATACTGATTTGATTACTCTGTTAAAAACTCACATGTACTTAAATCTAAGAACAGTTGGTATTTAAAAAAACTAATATAAATAACATTATCAGATAATTTATAACTTTCTGTTCCTGTGCGGTAACACTGTAATTGGATATCTAATGACAAAAAATTCTGCAGCATGGTTCTTGACAGGAGATAAGGTTGAAGTAAATCAGCAATGAAATGTATATGTGCATAGGCTGTTAAGCCATCCATGATTTGTAAAGAATTTCCTGCTACAACTTTCACTATCTACAATTATCAAAACAAAAGTTGAGTTTGATGATAGTTTATTAACATTTGTGCTGTAAAACAATTGAATCCTATCAACCAGACCATTAGAACCCTATTATATAAAATGTGGCCAATTACTTGTATATCATAGTATTGACACTTTTTCTATCAGTTTGTAAAAGTAGTCCACGTTATCAAAAAGATTTTTTTTATTCTGAATAAAGAGTTTATAAGACATGTAACAAGTGATACTTTAAATAGCAAATTTAAAATTCTTTTTAAGTCTTAGGTAATTACTACCCATCTGCATTTCTTTGCTGTCTTGATAATTTAAATCGATGTTTCAAAATGTTTTACTTTATAAAATCATCAATCCTACTATGAAAAGTCTTCAGAATTGCAATTGATCAATAGAAAATCAATAAAATAAATCAGATTGGTGGTAGTGTATTATTATTTTAATGTTCACATCTACATATCAACAGAAATATATTATTTACCTGTTTAATCTTTGAAAAATTGAAACCAATAAAAAAATCAATGAAATCAATCAAATTCTGAAAAAGAAATTAACTCTTGAGTGAGGCCAAAATTGAGGCCAAAAGTTTTTACAGAGGCCAAATCTGAGGCCAGGCCAACTTTTGAGGCCAGGCCAAAAGTTGGTTTGAAGCCAAATTAGAGGCCAAGATAGAGGCCAGGCCAACTTAGAGGCCAGGCCAGGCCAAAGGGGCCAGGCCAGGTTTTAGAGTATGCCCTATCAGCAGCAGTTGGTGATATTTTCTTCAAACCGAAATTTTTATGTCGATGTAAAATACATTTTCACTGGAAGAAACATTTTTTAGAAGTCTATATATCGTAACGTGCTGGCTGTTTTATTGCCTCAGAAATGGAACCAAAAAAGAATTGCTAACTACCACACATGAGGTAGAGATTAAGATGAAAAATTTCCTCACTCAGTTGTTATAGCAGACACAAAAAGCAATAGATATAAAAAGTTTGTAGATCATTTACTTTTCTGCATTATATAATGTCAAAAACATAGTAACAGGTTAAAAAAAAATAGAATCTCAGTCTAGAATTAAAACATTTTCTAACAAATGGTAAACAAATCAAGGAAGTGGGTGAAAGAAAAGAACATAAATTGCTTTTTGATGAGGCCACAAAGGAGCAGTGAGCTCTGCAAGTAAGAGACTGATTTTGATGAGAAGTGTCATTGATAAGGATAAATCTTAAGATGAATTCCCAGAAAAGTGTCAGTATTTCATTTCACCCTTATAACCATACTAGACACCCAGTCATTCCCGCTGGACCAAAGTCCTGATTCTTCAATGAAAAAATTACATTCCAATAATTTTCAAAATTCATGGAAACTGGTATTATTTTAACTGTCCCAAAATACATGTTTACTTGACAAAGAGTCTGATACCTACATATATTGGAAAAGTTCTCGTAAGTAAGAAATTGTTCTTGACAAGGAAAGCTAGGATATTAGCCATTGATTGGAGAAGAATAGAGGGGTCTAGTGCAGACATGTCCATGATCAGCTTTCACTTAAATTCAATTGACCATACAACTTCTTACGGTGTAATGGCTATTTGATGTCTGTGAAGTCCCCAGGGGTCCCTGATAGTTTGACCTATTGGTAACCTTATACTCTCATAAACAGTAATTTACTGCAATGTATCCCGGGCTAGACACTGAAACTGTGTATTCCCAGTTCATGCCCGTTAAGGTGTGATATACTGATTTCTCCCTAGTCTTGTATAACATTGGAAGGCACCATGCTTGTGTATTCTTTATTAGGTTTAGGTAGGAAATTGAGGAAAATTGCAGATAGTCTGTAAGAAATGTGTATCCTGTTATTGCCTGTTTATTCTTTCAAATTATAAGATGTCAAGGATAAAGAGATTCCCCCAAGGAAAAAAATAAGTTTGATTTCATTTTCTATTCAAGTTTCTTGTGGGTTTTTTTTTGTTTTTTTTTTAAATAAAAGACATTTGGTATGAAAATGTCAGAAATTTAATGCATGTACGACAAACTTTGAAGACCTTGGTGCATCATGAAAGTCGGTCATCACATTTTAGATTAATTTTGCTTGAGTTGTCTAGGGGGAAAATCCCATTTTGACAGTGCTGTTAAAGAAAATCTTTGGTATAGGATCAGGATAAGTCTGTCAAAGCAATGACCATTCCTAATAAAGGTCTATTTTGAGGGCGTCGAACATTTAAAATGAAAAATTTGAAAAGTTCTTTTTGATTGAAATTTCAAATTAAAAGTTTATAAACAAAAAATAACTTTAATAGGTTTTGGACTTTATTTCATTGTCCGAATTAACAAGACACTGTCAAAAAGAAACAAACATGGAAGCTTCATTTTATTTTGGTAAATCAGGTAAAGGGGTTTTTTTTTTTACTCTTTTACTTTTAAATTAATGTCTAAGCCTCGTTATTTTAATATTTTTAGCTTACTCAGTGATTGGACGTTAACTCTGAGATGCGATTTGGCATGGTATATGATGTACCCAGTAATGGAGCTTGACTTGTCGATGTTTATTATAAAATTTGTTGGTTGTAAAAGGTTGATCTTTAAAAGTCAATAAGTCTAACATTCTTTTTTTTTGCCAATTAAAATGGTTTCATGATAAATTTATCACTTTGTTGTTTATTTTCTTTTTACTTTGTCATGAACTGTGTAATTCAACACATCGCAGCAGCTTTCGGTAAAGTCATGACTTTTACTTTTGTAACAAATAAAACCGTATCTATATTTCTTTAAAACATATTTTATTGTAGGTATACTTAATTATGTTTATTTGATTTTCAATTCAGTGTAAAAAGTTGTATTTCCTGTGGATGCATCAACTGACATCTTCGGTTGCATAAACACTCTGAGCTCCTCAGATTTCTCTTACCTCTTGTATGAAATTAGCCAAGGATTGCCGATTATTACATAAAGCCAGTGATGATCTCGAGATTGTTTTAGTTCAACCTTTGGTTGAGATCATAAAAATTAATTTGAAGGGCAGTTATAGCAACATTATATTTTTCAATAAGCAACCATAGTAGCTAGCTTCTATAATAATTGTAAGTCAAACGAGGTTTCAATATTTCACAGCCATAAGATCTCGACGCCCCTGACACCTTCACTCCACCCCTGCAAATAAAAAAATGAATAAGAAGATTCAACATTTTAATGCCATATTATTTTGAACCCAAAATCTTAATACTCTTTAATGTCTAAAAGTTACGGGGATTCAAAATACTTAAGTCATTGGGGGATTCATTTTTTATTATCAATGATATTTTGAACCCGGATTCAATTTAAATCTTGCAAGGTTCAATATTTTAAATGACACTGTCTCTACAGTTGTCTATTAGTCTATACTGTCCAATCCATTATGATTATGATAATCTGTTTCTTAAGATGATAACCATATTGAATTTTTTTTAATTCATAGTAAACTTTCCGGGTAGATATTAATCTTCAGATCTGCAGTTCTGCAAAGAAAAGGATTAACTGAAGATAGGCTTTTTCAAACATATGTAAATTAGCTCTCACTGATTTTATGTGCCCATCTTTAATGAATGGGCATTCGGATAAAAGAAGAATGGAAAACCTGCTAATTTGAAAAGGTTGTAAATCAAAGAAAATGTAGTTTTTAATGTCATTTTTCTTTCCAGGCAACTTGATGTTTTCATCTGTAAGACTTAGTTATTCTTTCTATTAAAAGGGGATTATGGCATTGAAATTAAATGAAAAGATTAAAGAAGTGGTAGGGAACAAAATATTGAAAACTGTAGCGATTTTCCTATAATGTAATATAATTTACACATTGGACATGCAGGGCAGACGGCTGCCACTTTTTTTTGATCTGTGAGATTAGGGGTATCATAGAGTTAATGCCACTGGCAACTGTTGCAGTCCCCAATACAATAGTGCTTAAGATGGTCTCACACTCAACTTTTGCTGGTCCAATCTTAATTTGACTTTTGTCCTAATGACAGATTTCAGTTGCTAAATTGATGTCCCCATCCATTACACATTGTTCTGCTTGACAAAGCCACTACCAAGGTGATCCTGCAGACCAGGTAATAAAGGTACATTTTTCTTTCCTGGCCGCTTTGTTGCTATGGCAAGGCCAGGATATTCAGAAGAGATGCATGAATTGCACCGGACAATTCAAGGGATACAGGATGCCAATTTAGGAGTAGGTCAAGCGGTCAAGCAGCTTGTTAGAGGGTCCCCTTAGTTTTCCAGTTCTTGGAGGTGTTGCCATATGTTAATGTTTATAGCAGTTCAGTCTCTGTTTTTTCTAAAAATATAAGTAAAATAATTTGAGTTATGTCTTATATTTAGATAGAAGGTATGTCAAAGGTTCATACACTGTTTAAATCATTATATGTACCAAAATTTCATCTTGTTTTTTTTTTTTTTTCTTATAATCATTGCAGCGGTCAGTGCACATGTCCAGAAGTATAAAAACTTGTTGAATTATAGGTACACTTTCACCCAGCAAATAAGCTCTCTGAGATAAAGGACCTTAAATATCCATTAAAATCTAGTATGTCGGGCATGAAAGATGTGTTTTCTTGCATGACCTTCCTCACTGCTGGAGTTCTTCTTTATAATGAATAGCCGCATAGCTTTGTCTGGTAGAATGTGTTTTCCACAAATTTGATTCATGAAGGAATTATTGTAGAGTAATTGGGGTCAAATGGGCCAGATTCTAGGCATTTAAATGATTCTGACCACAAGTTATTGTTCAGGCCAGACCACTTGGGTACCAGTATTGGGAGAAGGGCTATTTGAGATTTTGAGGGGATATTGTGTGATTTGGAGGAGAATTAAATTGCTGATTGCTTCGGTCTTTTTTGTATAGGTATAACAATAATTGAGCTGTCAACACATGAAAAAGTAAAATATGTGTGTATTTATATGTGTAAGTGACAAGAGCAACTAAAAATTAAGGTGAAAGAATAAAGCATCTGCAGTGATTAAAGACAAAATGGGGAAACGTTTTTAAAAAATTGTGCAAGTGTAACAATATATGCGGCTCAGACAAGCCTAATTTTTTTTTTTTTTTAGAGACTCCATGTTTGATAACAGAACATTAATTTTAACTCATCTTGAAAGGACTAAATGCTTTTCACAAGTTTTTACTTCAAATAAAATTTATGGAAAATATCAAGTTTTTGAAATTTTTTATGAAAAATTGTGACTGTCATCTGTCTTATCTATAATATGATCAACAATCATTTAATTTTAATAGAATTATTTATGGTTATGTGTTCCTGTTTAGTATTTATTTTAATGTGAATGATAATCATTATCTAATACGGCAACTTCGAAGCAGGGCAGTGGAAAAATTTTATGAGAAAATTGCATCATTCTGAAAGTAAATGATTTTAGGGAGAGAATTGAAAAATTCCTATCTCTTCTATGTAAACATACTGCAGCCAGTTTTATGATGGCAATGAAATATCCTGCATTTTATGTTTTACTTTCTATTTTATATTCGGCAACAATTAGTTGAAGGCAGTTAATTACCCCATGATGCCATCGCGCCAGCCCCAGTAATGCATCTATCAAATTGCAGTGGTTTGATGGGCAGATAACTTCATTTGAACAGAGTGTTTAAATTCTCCCACTGGGCCCAAGAAAAAAATTTTATTCATGTAATTTAGATTCTGGCTGTTGATACAGCCTGGCATTATGATTTGATGAACCCTTCCATAGACAATAGCACTTAGTATAGCCTAAATTCTGTATAGTAAAAACTGTGCTTAAGTTTAGTGATGCTACAAAAGGCTTTTAAATCAAGGGGAGATAATTCTTTTGCTGATTTTTAGGTTTATAGGGAGAGCTTGCCTGGATGAAGATAATTATTATTCGTTTATTGTTTGTTTGAGTGTTGTTGTATGGTATTTACAAGCCCTTTGAGAAATCGTAATATTGGGCTTTAGTCTGGAAAAAAGTGTCTGATGGATCTTGTTTTAATTAAAGCAAATAATTAAATCTGATACCATGGGAACTTCAATCAGGCATTTTGTGTATCTTTTGTGTAATTTCTATCTACAGTTATTTCTGTTAGACAAGAAATGGGGTTAAGTTGTCAGTGTATAGGCATCTGTATGGCTGTTTCTTTGAGGCCATGGGAAAACAGGACACACTTGAACTGGTTTGAAAAACAGCAGAAGGGTTGGACTTCAGAAGGTAGTTCATTAAAGATGACTATCTTATGTAATAGAATATATGTTACATTGAGTCTGTTTATCACATTTTTTGTGAAAAAGAGTGTTCGCTGTCAAAGTTTTGTAACATCAGTGGTAGAACAATACTGTAACATATTGTCAGTGGTAAGAATTAAATTTCAGCCCTTACCATACCTAGTTTGTATTCTTGTATTAACTTTTCTTCCATTTGATCCATGAGGTGGTAGAGTTTTATAAAAACTGTTAGGAAATAGTATCCTTATTTAAGTTATTTTGTCTGACTTGTCATAGGAGATCGGTTTTCAAATAATTTCCGTAGGAGGTTGCTTTTAGTTTTCTTTTGTTGTCGAGTATCATATTTAATGTCGAAGCAATTACTGCATTTAAAAGAACATAAATTGAGATATTAAATATGTCATTTTTTGGCATTTGTTGAAAGCTACGGAGGACAGACTCATCAGAAATGAAGGCAAAGTAATTTCGGAAGCATTTTAATGACTATGTTAAGTAATATGGATAGGAAGCTATAAAAGCTTGATTAAAATTTTCATCATTCTGACATATACATGGAAGAGTGCAGTTGGTGCACAGCTGTAGGTGACTTGTATATTTGATATGTAAAGCTGCAAAAGGTGTATGCATGTATTATAACAATTCATGTAGACCATCAACCATCTCTGTTTGAAATATAAGCTTTATTATCCCTTTGTAATGTAGTTGGAGGGGATATAGTAATTGCTTGTTTGGGTATGTTAGTTAGAGTGTGTGTGTGTTAGTTTGTCCTGTGTGAAACAGAAGTGATGTAATTTGCATTGGGAATTAAGCTAAAGATAAAGTAAAAAACATCAATGAATTTCATACAAAATTCTGTGGCTACCTCTTTGATAATATATTTACTTCTGAGTAAGTACATGAAAGGGATGATAAAAAGTTGTTTACAACAGGAAATGTCCCATATTTGCATGTACTTTTTTTAGATGTGAAAAATATTGAGTACTCTATTTCTTATACATGTATATTCATTTTCCTCTATTTATAATTTTGTTGTTGTAGGATGTAGACCTGGTTTCTTCAAGTGGCTCCTGGGAAATACTCCATGCATTCCATGCCCCTCTAACAGTTATACCAATGTCCCGCGGTCCGTGGAGTGTACGTGTGCGGACGGCTACTACCGCAATCCCATGGACAGCAAAAACTCCTCATGTACCCGTAAGTCTCGTTTATAAAACTGTTTTTTCTGAAATAAATGACTGATAAGTTAAATGAAAACAGATTTGTCAAGGCAGATGAAATATATCTATACTGAATTCTGAAAAGTTGACAATAATACAATATTGGAAAGCGTTCACTCTTTGCAAGCTGTAGGCTAAAAATGATGCAATGAGACTTGCATGTTTGTTATATGAGATATATTGAAGTTAAAATGCAGGGTTTAATTTTTCAAGTTTGAATTGCCTGTATTTGAAATAAAATACCAAATCAATGACAAATATTTCTCTTATATCCATTTTAATCTCACCATCAATCAATGCATGGAAGTAATTTCTTTCATGCATTCATTTGTTAAATTTCTATAAAAAGGACTAACACATTTCCAAAATATGACAATGACCTCTTGCAACTATGTACACAAAAGTTAGAAATTCTATGATGCAGATTATATTTCATATTAGTCTCAGTCACCAGCTTATTCAACAGTGTTTCTTGACAATTTATTGTATGTTAGGGGAATATTGAACACGCAAGGGGTACAAAAGTGTGTGATTTCAATGACTTTTAGCAAATGGTCATAAAAAGGTTTCTAGCTAGAGCTTCTACACCTTTCTAATATTTTCTGATTTATGTCGACAAAAATAACACCCAGCATTCAGATATCTCGTTTTAAAATCGCATGTCACAGACACATGAAAGAAAGGCATATTAACAGGCAGAATTCTTTAATATGTTTGAATAATGGGGTATGCACTGTGTTAATTTCCATCTTTATGAAAAATAATTTTTTAAAGTCTATAAGCTTTAAAATCAGGGAAATTAAGCCATAATTGTTGATTATCGGAAAGATTTTGAAGACCTGTAAAAAGAAATGGCCGACTTAGGTTCTCCCTTAGTCATAGTTTAAACAGATAGAAGATATAGCTCAGCAGTGGTTACGACTTTAAGCATTGACATGATAATTTATCAGGTAAATTGTGATATCTTTGTTTGGAATTATGAAAATTGAGGTGAAATATAGTAATAATGGGTAGAGCAATTTCCAGCTCCAATGTATGGCAGAGGGAGATAGTCATGCTTCTGTGAGCAGGAGTTTAAAGCACACTAAATTTTACTGATATTTTACACATTGCCACACATAGAAAGTTTTAAGATTTTATCAACTCAACAGACACACCTGTGGCTGTGTTAAGTAAGGGGAGTAATCGAGAAAACAAAAAAAAATCATTGCTAAAGGAAGAATAAGCGGATCAGTACAAATTCGTTTGTACATGTCCTCTCTCTTAATTGGTTAAGTTCACTGCTTTTCTCCTATTTTGGAAAAAATATGATTACTAATTCATCAAAGAAAGATGGAATTTTTTCAGTTAAATTTACTTTTTCATAAAATAAAATCTTCCAATAATTATAAATAGTAAATGTGTCAGTACAAAAAGTATTCATTTCTACATGATTTTAATTATATCAGAGCCACCATCAAAGCCTCGTAATTTAGTGGCTGAGGAGATAACCCATAATTCCATTACCTTATCGTGGATACCTCCTCAGTCAGACGGAGGGAGAAAAGATGTCCGCTACAGGGTAGCCTGTACACCTTGTGAGAGTGTGTCCTTCCATCCAGGCTGGGAAAACATCAATCAGACAAGGTACAGGGGGGTATAACATACACTGCAGTAATGCAAGAACAATTTTAAAAGAAAAAATGGTTGGCTTCAAAAGGGGTGATTAAAATCCATATCAATGTACAGTCAAACCTCAATATCATGAACTTGATGGGACTGAGAAAAATGAGATATCCTAGGATTTGGAGATACACAGGGTAAAATATTTAGATGACAAGTGGTAGGATTTCAAAATCACTTCAACACCTCCATGATAACGAGACATTGGTGTTTCAGATACCTATGTTCAACTGTATGTTTTAGAGAATGGGTATTGTGCTTTGTGAACCTAAAGGATAGATCATTGCAAGCCTTAAAAGAAAGAAAACACAAACTTCCTGCTTGTAAAGTTAACATTGCAATAAACTAATTATAAATACTTGTTATAGAGAAGGTCCCATTTTAATGATACAAGTAGTATCTAAAGAAGGATTTTGTTGACACATTTAGGGAACTCTTGCACAGAATTTTTTTTTATCATTCACAGGGTATCAATCACGGGATTGACCTCCAGCACCAAGTATAGCATTAGAGTGTCTGCCATAAATGGCGTCAGCAACCAGAGCAACATTCCAGTGGAGTTTGACGAGGGACAGTACATGACCAAGGCCAGCACCCAGACCATCGTCAACTTCCAGATCAGTAATCGCGGACAGACAGAAATCACAGTCACCTGGGACATTGCCCCTAACATCAGAAACAAGGTTATGTTCTACCAGGTCCGCAGTGCTCCCAGACTGGGAAATGGTATCATCTTCCTGAAGAATATATCGGCCAACCACCAGAATTATACATTTAAGAATCTCAACTTAGGAGCTGAGTACAGTCTTCAGGTAATTTATGGGGTTTTTCTTGGGGGTAGTTATCAACCTGTATAAGTTATCAATGTGAACTGAAACATGTCACTTTTAGATAGAGGGACCAAAACAAAGCAATTTCAACTTATTTGATTCATCTTTACAGCTGAAAAAGCTTTCATAGAAATATGCTTTCTCCTTTTTTTTTGGCGAGTGTAAGAATTGTTTATCTTAGTATACTTCACCTCTGACTTTGCTCAGAGATACAGTAAACTTTACTCATTGAAACATGCCATTATTTCTGCAATATACAGTAATGTTAAAGTGGAAAAGTCTGTTTTCAAAGAAAAAATTTGTTAAATAACAAGACATACAGATTCAGTTTGTATCGTTTCTAAAGAATGTTGTCTAATTATAAAGGTATTCCATCTCTGGTGCAAAAAATTGTCCTATTGATGGGGGATATAAGAGAGATTTTCTAAAAGAGCATTACAAATAAAACCATTGACTGATGTGTCAGATGAAAGAAGTTCTATAGAAAAAGATTATTTCATTACTTAAGTATCCATATTTTGTTTTTAATGTTCTAATCTAACAAAAACACCGTTCCTAGGAGAGCCATAATTAAGTTACTAAGACAAAATGCTTGACAATTTATTGAAGTTTCTGTGTTTGTTGCGCATCCCCATTTTCGATAAAGGAAATTGTCTTGACATCAACTCGAGGATAAAAATGCTACTCTCCATTTTATCTTCCACAGGTTGATTAAATCAGGGGGCTAAGCCTGTGTACGACATCTTCCAATTCATTTAAGGAAAACCATTTCCTACAAAATATGATCTTAACTAGATGTTGTAATATTTAATTTAAACAAGCACCGCTGCTGCAAAAAGTGCATGTAGACTGATGTAATATGTTGTAGAAAATTTCTTTTCGAGAGTTGCTTGACGTATTGAAATTTAAGAGTATCTGCCCATGTATCAGAAACTGATAAAATGCATGCGTTGAGTAACTGAACAAATTTGATGGTTGTCAATGGGCGTGGGGAGAAAAGATAATCCTAAAATTGCTTATGCTAATAGTTATCATGTTAAAGTAGGTTCGAAATCATATTTTTTGTGCCCAGTAGTAGAGAGAATGTGTTATTTTGCGAATGTGTTAATTTACCTTGTAATCAGAACTTTTGTTTATAATTAAGTATTGATTGATTTTATTCTTTTAAATAATTGAAATAGGAATAATTTCAACAAAGTGGGCAGACAAATCTATGAATGAAAATCGTTAATGGCGGAATGTCAATTTTTTTTAATTGGTGTTAGTAGGTTTTTAGCTCATTTTGGTGAATATTGAATTTACACTTACCATTCTGACTACCAGTATCGCTCATCTCACATGTGGCACATTTTCAATTAAGCAGACTGTATCAGTTGGTTGCTATGTTAATGCCCTTTTATAGTGGGAAACATAAAACGCAAAGGTGAAGTCAGAAGATTCACCCTGCGTGCCGTAAATGTATGTTTTGGGAATAGCCAGGTTTTCCTGTATACTGTGAAGTGAATTGATTGGAAGCACAAAATTGAACCATTTTATGGTCAGGTTCATTCATGGAGAACCATTTTTATGTCCCTTTTCTTTTAATCAAATGTTTCCATTGGTACCGGCTACCTGAAAATCAACTGAATTGTCATGCCTACCACCTGTAATTACTAGTTATTTCTTTAGGAAGTTGGCAGTTTTCTCTCCCTTTTAAGCAAAGTAATTTGGAACATATCAATTAATGAAGAGGCTTTTCCTCGTTTTGAGATGCTCAAATCATAATAAAATTTGCACGCTTGCATAATCTGATAAAAATCAAAGCAAATGCTGGACATTTTTCCATGATTTTTTAATGCTGCAGTAGCAACTTAATCAACATATAAAATGTACTGAGTTTAAGGAGATTAACTTAACATATAAAATGTACCAGGTACAGGGTTCATATCCTGTGCATTCATTCATTGCTATGTTTTATTAACACCTTAATGCTTAATTCTTGTGTTTCTGAAGAAAATTATGTCAATCTGTCAATCTACAGATCATATCATATTTTTAGAGTTATTTGCAATTTAGCATTTAATGAAACTTAAGCACGCTAAGGCAATAAAAATTGTCCTCTATGTGGGATATCTAATTCTTCACGGTGTTTATTAGTGAAGAAACCTCTAGTGATGTTAGGTCTGAAATATTTCAATTTATAAAATTACGGGAGCACATTGATAATACCAATGCTCCATGGAACCAATTCATCTTTCAAATATCTGCAAAAGGACACCAAAAAGAGCCAATAAATTGAAGAGATTTTACATCTCAACAAACTTCATTCAGTAGGCAACATCTCAATATTTTATATTAAAGCTGTATAAGAGAGGGTAATATTTGGCAGAATTAGGTTTTGCGGAAGAAATTGGGTGCCATATTGAATGTGCCGTGCAGGACAGGAGTTAAAACCAGCAAGGGACCTTTCACTTTCGTCATTACAAAGGACAAAACATATGGTTCAATGATTTAACCAACGGAGACATGGAAAAAAACATTGCCCAAGGAGTATCATTTTTCCTTCTTTTTATGCAAGACTGCTGTTCATCTTTTCAATTTAATCATTGGGGTTTAAATCATTTTATTTTTTGCTAGAATCTCAAGGATTTTCTCTTAAAAAAAACAAGAGGTAATTAATACTATTTATGACCCTATAAGATTTTGTCATTCAATGCTGTTACTGGGTATAAAGTTATGCCAATTTTCCTTGAAAAAAAAAAGAGATAGAGAAATGTTTTAGGGTAGTTCGAGATGGGAATAAAGAGTTTGGTATTTCATTATACAATTTATTGTCTTTTATCAGCAGGAGTTCTCTGCCCTGATTAATGATAAATGTTCGAGAAAAAAACAAGATAACATTTGTCATGCAGGGGTTGAAATTTTTACTTTCTGTTGATAAGAAAGAAATTTTACACCTCCAAGTGTGATTCAGTAATCTAATTCATCAAATTTATCTCAGGAGATGATACCAAAAAAAATCTAATCTTGTAGTGGTTCAAAAACAAATTCGAGATTTGGGAATCAAATGCCAAATTGAACACAGCTAGCAGATGGTTCTCAGAGCCATAAAATGATCAGAGGTGCCTCATAGTTATGTAGGGGTTACTGAAGGACCCTCCTTAGTCCCAAATCTTCATAGAACAGCTCTGCAAGAGGTTTTTAGAGCTCAGGATATTTAATGGAAATAGGCATCAGCTGATAAGTTTCCGATTTTTTCCCCCTTCATAATAATGGCCTGCATATTTTTCAATGACGTAAAGAGTTTGGTTACAGATAAAGTTGACACCTTTTTTCTGTCTCTCCAGATATGTTATCATATAACTTGTGAGAACTGAGAAGGACTATAAGGTATTGGTAGTATCGTGCCTGTCTTCGTTGTAAGTCATATTTGGTTACTATAAATGTTGCGCATCTTCAGTTCACCATGTGAGGTCTCTGATGTGATCTTAAAGCATATGACTTAATTGCACACAAGTAGCAGATAAAAAATTGTGCAATTTTATGCTTCCAAGGTGAAAATCTGCCAAACCTGTGATTAATCAGTTCGTGAACTGGAGTTTTTCGCGCATGATAAATGCTACAGAAGGCTTAAACTGATGTAAGGCTTCTGTTGGGCTCGAATAAAAATCCTGATACTTGTCTAACCGGCAGACTTTATCATGTTTTATGTAATGTTCTATGAGGAAAGCTGTCGCCAGAAGACAGGAAAAAACTGTGAATTGCAGTCACAGATGAGCGGTCCGTTTTTCAGCGTGCCACATTTTCACCAACTTTGAAGCAGTAAACCTATAATTTTTCGGATTTAATAGCAAAATTAAAGTGTTTTCTACAGGTTAAATGTTTAATTTTTAGTACCTGTTTATTTCTTGGTAAAGGAAATTAGAAAATAAATAGATAGTTAAAGTCCTATCTTAGATCAGGAATAATAAAAAAGATCAGTCTCGCTTTAATCTGTTAAATAATTGTTTTGTCTGATACATGCATTAAAAAGTCAAATGTTGGAGGGTAATGTTCTGCCCCAATAATTTTTTTTCTTCCAACTTTTATGCCCAACTAAGAAAATAAAATTTAAAAAAAAAAAAACTTGATCTATTCAAATTCCGCATACCAAATTTTTCCCGTTTTAAATTGTACATGTATATATTCATGTGGTCTTCTGATTTTCAAGAAGTTATAATTCTGCAGAATCACAATTTCCATTCAATACAGATTTCTTAATAGATTACCCTTGTACATCTTAAATGATCATGCACTTTATAATCTTTATATAGACTATGAAAAATTTCTGCCAAAAATTTGTTACAATTAACATACAAAGCATAATACAATGTACCACACAGACAAAAAAAGTCTGCATTACAATCCATTCTTAAGGCATTGGAATATTTTTCATTTGTTCTTGCATATTCACTAATTAGGGGCCTGTTGAAACTAAACAAGACATCTCACAGATACTGTGAACAAAAACATAACACTGAGTCAATACCTAAATGGTTTTCTTAAAAGCTGGCATTTTGTGTGTGTGTGTGTGATAATTGGTAGAGTGGACAGAGAGAGAAATGGAGGAATTGTAAGCGTTGTGTCGCGGAAGTGAGTGGTGCTTTGTCATTTCATTTCCACCTAAAAATCCAATAATTCTAGGACCCTCCTGATGACTTTAGGAAGATGTACACTAAACCACTGGATTATAACGAACTACCGAGGACGGTTAATTAAAATCTGGCTCTCCCGGCTTCCTTGTGTCATAATTCATCATAAATACAATTACAATTTCATTATTTGGGGGCCGAGTAGGAATGATTATATTCCTCATAACCACAAAGTCCTTAGAACTTTCACTGACTTTGAAGTGTGTTTCAATGAAACCTGCTAGAAAGAACCCAGCCCATACTTATAAGAAAATTACTACAAATACTTCAACAGTAGTTTTAGAAAAACGTCATGCAGTTCTATGATAGTGGATTTGTAATGAAAAGAAAACTTTCAGATTCATCTACCTGATTCAGCTTCACAATAATTTTTTCTTCTGTTTTGTGTTTAATTAAAATTTGGAATGTCAACACTTGAAGTAACTGATGTATTTATAAAGAGGTACATGTACCATTGACATAAAACAAGGCACTATACATTGTAGTTAACAAAAAACTTTACCGAGTTATTATATTTTTAGGTGAGGTGCTATCAGGTGGAGAAAGGATGGGGGGACTTCACACAGCCAATTAACGTCATACCAGGAGAACCAATCGGTAAGTTAATTAAACTGGAAGACTTAATTACAAATTCCAGATCGAGCACATCATCTGGAAGATCTAAGCCTGTGTTTGAAAAAAAAATGCATTTAATCAGCAGTTCATTGCAAAAATTTTTTTAGACAGCATCCTTAAGAACATCAGATTGATAGGCTGTAGAGAGATGCAAACTTGAAAATTATTCGAAAAATGACTAATATAAAATAGAGAGATTTCACACCAGTTAGATGATGTTTTTAAGAACATCAGATTGATAAGCTAGAGAGAGATGCAAACTTGAAATTATTTGGAAGATGACTAATTTAATAAAAAGAGAGATTTCACACCAGTATTTAATTATAACAGGTAGATATGATGGTATGGGGCAGTCTGAAAGAGGTAGAAGTTTTGTATGAAAATATTCTGCAATGTTATTCAAACATTTGGTCTTAATGTATGCATGACAATTGTCTTCTTTTGACATTTTATCAATGTAAACCTATTTTACTGCATCCATTTATGATACTGAATGCAAAGTTTGATGCAGAGGCAAAAAGAATAATGACATTATTTCCAAAACTATGTGACCAAGTTTTCTCTTAAAAATTGTACAAATTTCTGATTGAATGCTCTATGCTCTTCTTCTCACTTAATCTTACTTACATCATAAAAAATTAATGGTTTCATATAAGTAATGGTTGTTCCAATGCTTCTTTGACAGTTATATTGTATCTTAATTATGCTATTGATAACTAGCTTCTTTCAGCCTTATAGAGCAATTACTAAAAAAGAAAACTTAAATAAGTTCCCACTTGTTATGTACTTAAAAGTATTGATCCAGACTTTGATTGGTACACTGTACGATAAGATAAGTACATGTACTGAAATTTTTTTTTTTTTTAACAGGAAAGAAGGAGATAGATCCCCCCCAGCAGCTGTCTGTTGGGATCATCATTGCAGCTGTCCTAGCGGTGATACTCTGTATGGCCATCGCTACCGGCATGATAGTCATCCTCATCAAGAGGTTAGTCCGACCTTCACAGAAAGATAATACATGTACTAGAATATGCACTGTAATAATTTCACCAGAATGATTGAAAAAAAAACTCAGAGCAAATAATTGTGGAAAGTTTATTTAGTTAATATAATTTTGTTGAATCAAGCATTATGAAATTAGCAGGGAAAGGAGAATTATAATTCTATCAGGGAATACCATGAATTGACAATGTAGATGCCGATTGGTGTTTAAGTCAATTCTTATTGTTCATTGGAAATTGATGTTTTACGTTATGTTGTAGAAATCAACGAGACAGTCAAAATGACAAGAGCTGCGGAGAATACGACCCCCAGTACAATCCCGGTGAGGGTATGCACGTTTTTGCACGTACTAATCAGAAATGTAGGCCTAGTAACTGCTAGTTACAGAAGATGTAGAGACCAATAGGTCTATTGTTATGACAATGTGTGTTGTTGTTGATGTTTAACAGTTTGTCACATTACGCATTTTTGATTGCATTTGGTAAGGAATGTGAAAGAACATTGATTTTTTTTCACCCCAATTTTTTTTTATTTGAGACCAATTTAACAAGCTGGCGTATTAAAGCGATGTCATACTAACCACTTCTTGCAATCTACGGCATGCACAAGATATATATATTATTGCATGATACATTCCTATTATATACTTGTACTTGCTAAATTTATTTCCTTTTACTGAAAGAAAATGTTTGTTTGAGTTCTTGTTTTACTTGACTGTCTTGTCCATGTAAATGTCTGCCTGTTTTTGTTTTGTCTTAAAAATTGAAATCATTCATTTTCAAGAATGTTCATGCAAGTCTGCATTTTATGATCATGTCATAAAAGTACCAGTAATTTGAATTGTTGCAATGAGATGCAGAAATTTTGCCTGTAGGAAATATTGTTTTAGTATTTAGGAGTTTATGGTGAAGGGTATAGATAGAAAATAGATGTTGCATAAAAGTTGAAAAGTTCTTCCATTGCATGGCTGACTCTTTATCATGCAAGAATGTGCATGCATTGAAATGATAAGAAATGATTATGCAATAATTTGACAACTTAAGAAAGCTATCAAATGATATTGAAAACAAAATTTTTCCAAAAGAAAACAATTATAGCAAAGTGAAAAGTTTATCGTGAGATCATGGAATTTCAATGCTATCCATATTTCAGAAGTGGAACAAGTTAAAAATTTCATTTTTTTGGTGGGCTTATGCTTGATTATGTTTTGATTTTTTTTCTGCTTTACTCATAAATTTTTATTCCTGTAGTTCTCCATTGCCCCCCTTTGGAGCCCCATATGAATGGTGGATGTAAGTAGCGTGTATTCTTGTAATAACCTTAGTTAGTTAGATTCTAGTTTTATAGTCTCTAATCCTAATAGTCACACATGGGGGAAGTTGTTTGGTATATTGTACACCCTTTTTATAAAAATATTCTTTCTACTCTTCATTTCTTAAGTTTTTCATTCTTCAGACACTAATATGGATGTATAATTTTTGTGCCATCTTTACCACCCTAAAATTTCTTCCGATTCTTTTGTCGCTTTTAGCTGCACTAGCGCCTTGCCTTATAGTAGCGCCTCTGATGAAATTTTATTTGCACTGTATTTGCACAGTTTCTAGCTGTATTTTGCTTGCATATCTGACACTGGCTGTTCTTTAATGTTTCTTTTTCTTGGTATCACCAAATTTTCACATCAATGAAGTTTATCACTTTTTATCTATTGGTCATATTGACATTTCTATATCTGAAAACACTGAAAAATATGGTCACTGTAAATAAACTAAAAATAATTATTTGAGTCATAAAGAAAATCGATCAAATATGCTTCAATAGAAAAGTGTTGATAGAAAAGGTGGAGCCTTTTTATTGAAAATTAATATGACATCTCACACTAAAACAAGGAAGAGACATCAAACTGCAGATTGTTACGTAACTAAAATCTCAGTGTATCAAAGTGCTCATGGAACAAGCATCGAGATTTAATGCTTCAATATAAAAGATAAGATGAAAGAAGAAAAGGCTAATAATGCTCTTGTTTTCTCATTTCGCTGATAGCTTTTAAACTGCAGGATTTGGGAGTTCCAGATTTGTGGACCCATATGGCAGAATTTTTTAAAAATTTATTTTTCTACTCAGTTGCTCTTTGTCTGCAACTCCTGTAGAAAAATACATCTTGATGTGAAAATAATAAGGTGCTTGCTTAACTTGCTTTTAGAGGAGCAGATCTGTGAAATGTGATTGGCTCCTTGCAAAATTAGCTAATACGATTATCGGGGAATTATCCATTGATATGCGAATGACTTCTTGAGAAGAATACAAATATTATGACAGTTCACATTCCTTACCAGTTGTTCATTATTGTAATCAAGGATGTTCCATTCTTTCCTTTTTCTCCCCTTTTTAGATCAAATCCCTGTAGTTAATCAAACCCGTTTATAAATAGCTAAATTATTGGTAGCGTATTTCCCTAGTTACCATAAAACGTGCTTGAATGGAAAAGCAAATTGTAAACACGCATTGATATTTTTTAATTTTCTGAATAACATTAGGACACTATAATTCAATTAAAAATCTGTTGTATAAATTAATTTTAATTGATTAGTTAAACTTAGTTTCCTACTGCACTGAATCCTTCTTTTACAGTGACCATGCCGTTGTTTCCTCCCAATGATTGTGTCAAATCTTATGTTGACCCCCATACTTACGAAGACCCAAACCAAGCGGTACGAGAGTTCACGCGAGAAATTGACGCCTCCCACATCACCATTGAATCCGTCATTGGAGGAGGTTTGTTGCTATAATTAGTAACATTAGAGTAAAAATTTTATTGTAATTTCAAGCATACTGTTTTATGGTTAAGTCATGATAGCAATTCAAAACTTCATTGCATTTTGATGAACGTTTTATCAGCAAAACAACTTTTTTTTAGCTGTTATCATTCAGTTTCCAAATTTATACTTTTTAAGGAGAGTTTGGTGATGTCTGCAAAGGAAAACTACGCAATCCTGTAAAGCCTGAAATGTCGGTCGCAATAAAGACTTTGAAACCCGGCGCAACAGACAAAAACCGTTTAGATTTTCTGACGGAAGCCAGCATAATGGGACAGTTTGACGATCAGAATGTTATATTTCTAGAAGGAGTTGTCACAAAAAGTAATTATCAGATTTTGTCACCCCCTTCTAAATTGAAATTTCTAGGTTTTTTTCAAAAGTCATTAAAGAATGCATGGAGACTTTTTCACTTCCTGTCGTTGTTTATTGGAATTTTTATCATTACTAGGGAAAGTTTTTGGACTCATTTCTTTAGTTATAAGATATGCCCAGTTGTGCATTTTCAATATTACATAAAAATTGCTTTTTATTTGGTTAGGAAGTTGAATATGATAACTTTTCTTTGCAGGTCATCCCATTATGATTGTCACAGAATATATGGAAAATGGATCTCTTGACACATTTTTAAGAGTAAGTTAACTTTCCCAATTCATGAATTTAAAAAAAAGTCAAGAAAAAAGACTTTCTGCAAAACACTGTGTCACTTAAAAGTGTGGACAGGTAGCTGTGCTCTGTTTAAAGGTTTTTGTTCCCTAACTGCCAGAGTCGCTGTTTATAAGAATTAAAATTAATCTAGCACTGCGAGAGTTAAATAGACACCATGGTAAAGCAATATTATTCAATTAGGACCTCCTTCCTTTTATGGGGAGATGATTGTTTACCCTGACAGATGACTGGGAGATGGAAATTGGCCATCTCTTTTTTCCCACCCTGATGTTCCGTAGACTTTTCCTGAAGTAATCAAGAAAAATATTCTTATTGATGAGTTAATGTTAGTTGATATTCCAGTCTTGTCATAAAATATCCTGGCACATCCAAATAAAAGGACTCATAAAATTCCCCCTGATTAACTAAGAAGTGTAATAACTCATTCTATGGTCCAGTCATGTAATGCTCCGGAATAATTAATCAATTTTGGGCCGTGATCATGCGGCGCGGATGTACATTCAATGGCTAGGATAAAACCAACATTAGGGTGGAAGGGGCTAGGAGACAAAGGGACATAAATATCAATTAGTCCCCCCAAAATGTCAACACCTGGTACTAAGCTGCAGGGCTTGTAAAATGTGGCACTCATCCTTTTTTGTCTGCCTCAATGACAGTGTCGCTTTAGCAGGCACCACTTGACAAATTTGCTGCAGGGGAAAAATAATCGCCAATTTGGGAAATAATCTACGGAAGTTCTTGCATATTTCAAGACTCATTTGTCTTGAAATTTTCCTTTCCCCCTTCAGTCTGTAATTATTAGGTTTTCGTAAGAGATATGGTTATTTTGAATTGTTCTGACTATTTGGTTGAATATTGAAAATTGTTTTGGAAAAAAAATTAAAAGTTAATTATTTTTTTTAATTAATCAAGGCTTGTAAAAAGAAATGTCAACATACAGTATGGAATGAAATGTGATTGATTAAAATGTGCAACTGACTGAGAATTTCTGTAAATTGAAAGAAAAAATGTTAATTAATTATAAATTCATTTGGCTGAAAAAATATATCATCCCTTGAATTAATTGATACGTGTATCGAAAATAACTTTGAATTGTATATTTCCACTAGAGCATGGCCATATAAGAAACAGATTAGCATTAACCAATTTTTATCCAAATTTTGTGGAAGAAAATTAAAAGAGAAAAAATAGAAAATCTGTGTCGATTCCAATTGAATGACAAAAGCAGATTAATTTTAAGTTATACTGGCAATTTGAGACTTTTATTGAATGTTTGTGTGTAAAGTTATATGGAAAATAAATGAGAAGAGGAAGGGTTTGCCAGAGGAGAGGGAAAGCTGACTGGTTTTTGATGAGTGGCTTGAATGCAATCAGGACCAGCTCTCTCCCCTCCAAGTCATTTTTCATGACATTCCTTGTCAGTTCTTGAAAACACCATCAAACCTCCATTAATCTTCTAACCCATACAAGGGGAAAAAACTAGACGTTTATACTCTGCACACAAAAACAAATCTAGACCCTAACTGACAAAAGTATCCAAGTCAGTGCAATGCAAGGAAAAAAAACATCATTCCATACAGACAAATTATCAATTATTTCGTGATGAAGGACAGAGGATTACAAAACCAGAGAAAATGAGTGATGGATTGATAGAGAATGCAGAATCTTGTTATTGTGGGCAATTTTTATGCATGTCTGCCCATATTATTTCCTCATTGGAAAAACCAACTTGAATCTGAATAAGCTGATTTTCATCAGGGGGGAATCAGACTAATTCTGATTTATGTTCTCTTCTGTTTGTCTAGAAGTCCTTCTAAAACTCTCCAGTTGCAGAAAATGTAAGAATATTTGCAGGAAAAGTGGTTTAATACAATCCTACCTCATAGTCATATTGAGTTCTTTAATAAGAAAAACATTGAATTGCACGAAATGTCTGGGTATAATTCTCATCTTTAAAAGCAAGTCAGATGCTACTTATCTGACATTTTTCTGTTTTATTAACAAAGATAAGGTCACAAATCACTTGTGGCATTTGTCAGGTTGATATATTTGATGAAATTTTTAGCAGTTGTTTATTATTTTTTTTATTTTTTTCTCCAGAACAACGATGGGAAGTTTACAATCATGCAGTTAGTAGGAATGATGAGAGGGATCGCGCTAGGAATGAGATATCTCTCCAACATGGGATATGTACACAGAGTAAGATTACCAGCTCTAGTTCTTAAGTTGACAAATTTAAAACAAGAACATTTTTATGCTTTTCAAATAGAGTCTGTACATGTACCAAGCTCCAGTTTATTGTCATCATCAGTAATTTTTCTGAAATTACATGATTATTGAATTTTATTTTATTCAGTAAAAAAATTTTTTACCGATAATCAAAAATTGAATTTTATAAAAGACTGAGTGCTTGAAAAAATCTGATGAGAGAAATTCCTGATATTAAATGGTGGCAATAAAGTTGGTTTGATGTTAGGCTCTTCAGATATTGAATCATGGGGGTAAAATTTTGATAAATTGATAAGGAGATTAAAAAGAATTGGCTTGCAAACAAAACATTTCACTTGTGAGATAATGTATATGACATGCGAGACAAAGGTTAATACAAGCTTTCCAAATTTTTACATTAAGAGATTTTTGCAACTGCACAGCAGGCAACTTGAAATGCATAACATTTGATGTAAACCCTCTTTTGCTTGTTTAGGACTTAGCTGCCCGGAATATTCTGATAAATGGGAATCTGGTCTGTAAAGTTGCCGATTTCGGATTGTCCAGGGAAATCGACATAGACACTACTGATGGGGCTTACACAACAAAGGTATGGACGCACTAATATTATGCACTTCTATCGCATCAGAGGCATCTTGGTAACTTTGGCCGCAAGGGCTTAAATGGATTATACTTGCATCTTATTGTACGCTAATGATTCCTCTGATAAGAATAGTCTAGACCAAAGCACTGGCGTGATTGTTAATATACGCCCACTGTAAGTCAACAGGTATTAGTACATAATCTATCCCTAACCAATCTTGTTCATATTCCTATATTTTATAGATGTAAATTCTCCCCCAAAAAAACCCCCCAAAATTTGTTTTAATTTCTCCAAATGATTGTATAGTAAGATATAAATGACCTGGATAAACCTTAAACCAAACAGTTTTTATGAACAACTTTTTTTTCAGGGTGGAAAAATTCCAGTTAGGTGGACAGCTCCAGAGGCCATTGCCTTCCGAAAGTTCACGTCAGCCAGCGATGTTTGGAGTTACGGGGTGGTGATGTGGGAGGTGGTTTCCTACGGTGAGAGACCGTATTGGAACTGGTCCAATCAAGACGTCATTAGAGCCGTTGATCGGGGTTACCGACTTCCACCACCTATGGTAATAAACTTGATTTCAAAGAATTACAAAAATTTGGTATATTTTTTGGTCCCATTGGAAATTACTTCATACTCATAATTATAGCTAAGAGGTTGATACTCTGACAGTGGTAATATTTTCGAAAGTTCATTTCCAAGTTAATCTATTTTAATGTTAATGAAGAGTAAACATCATTGCTCTATTTTAATGTAATGAAAAATAAGCATCATTGCTTCCCTTAATGTAAAACTCATGTTCAGTAGATTGGCCTGCCTGGCAGAGAGTGGTCAGTGTAAAGTGGATTAATATGACTGATTGTATTTTCTTGCATTTGACAGGACTGTCCCGAGGCACTTCATCAGTTGATGTTGGACTGCTGGCAGAAAGAGAGAGGAAACCGACCCAAGTTTGACATCATTGTCAAAAGTCTGGACAAATTTATCAGAGCTCCAGAACTCCTCAGAAAAATTGCAAAACCCAGGTATGGTTGACAAAAACCTTCCTTTTTTGCAATCTAAGCTATTATCAACATTTTTTCTAAAGTACATTAGCTTGAATTTTAGATGATCCCTTGGGATATTGTTTAATTTCATTTAATTAGCAAAAAAAAAAATATAATGAATCTGAAAAAAATGTTTAAATTTTGAACTTTGAAACATGTAACTTGAATATATATTAAATATATTTATATTTCGTAGGCCTGAATTCTTAATGGACACAAATCATCGCACTATGCCCATGAATCGACAAGGAGAAGTTTCTAATTTCACCAACGTTGAAGGTTGGCTTATATCCATCAAAATGGAAAAATACATTGACAATTTCCTCAACTGTGGTTATAGGACAATGGACCAAGTGTTGAAAATCACTCAACAAGACTTAGAACAAAGAGTAGGGGTCACATTAATAGGACATCAAAAGAAAATCATGAACAGTATCCAAACTCTGCGTGCACAACGATTCGGACAATTCTCTCAAATGTCGGATGGATTCCTCGTATAGTCCTGTGTGTGCTTGCTTTTACTTAGTGCGCTTGTTATTACTGAAATTATTCCTCAGTTTGTGATGTTGACTTCTTGTGCAATTTTTCTTGTCCAGACGAGGGAGTTGTATGATCAATCAAAAAATACAACAACAAATCAGGACTGCAAGTGCTGCCGCCTGTGTATCAATGAGAGAGAAGAGTTGTCCCACACCGTACCGCAAAAAAAAATTTTTATCGGTTTTTCTCATGTTTTTGCATAATGACTATTCTTTTAGCATCCTAAGGATGGCATTGTTTGAGTGTTTGCTAGAGTGAGAGAAATAAACTAGTAAGGTTGTGAGATGAATTTCTACCTAGTTATATGTGCTAGAGATTTATTTGCTCATTGATATTTTTTTTTGGTCACACCTTGACAGTATGCAATGTAATTGGCTGTCACTGATTAGCAAATATTCCAGCACCGTTGTTTGACTGCAGGTTCAGCGTGATGTTTTGTATGATGTACATGTGTGAACGATTGGTGATCGTGTGTATGTCTGTATGTGTTTGGTACCAGTGTAACTGGAGAGTGTTTCATTATTATTTAAGTCAAAAAAACTGTGTATCAGTATTTATATCATAAAACACGTTTATTTTGTCAACACTGAGAATTACATCATATGTCTCAATACTTGGTCATTTTTAAGTTTCTATAACTTTTATTCCAAAACTTATAATGTGACAGTGGATTAAATATTTGTTCTGTTTTAACATGTAAGTTTATAACTTTTTTTTACATTCTTTGAAGGTGATAGTGCAGTTCAGTTGGGTGTTCATTTTTTAAAATTCTTTTTAAGGTGCTTATAGTAGGAGTCAAGATATTTTATGTTCGGTTTGTTTCTATGCAACATTTGAACCATTCCATTGACAAGTTATTCCCACTTATGCCAACAGGACTCAAAGTCTGCATGTCATGTTTACCTGTTGCACTCATTGTTTTTCTGGTCAGTTAAGAAAGCATATGTTGATTCCGTAGGAGTGTTTGCCCACCCCAGATGAAGTTTTTATCAAACAACAAATTATAGTACCAGTACATATCAATGTTAATTAAAAATCTTTTGAAATTATATGAAAAAAACTAATTTTCAAACCCTACACTGAACAGTTAAGGAGATCTATTCCTCATTTTGTTAGATCCTCCCCTGAATACTTTACAATTCTTACATCCACCACTCCCACCCACCACCACTTGTATAGTAACCTGTGTAGTTCATTATTTGTAGATCATTTTATTTTGACTGTATATAATTTGTAAATTCCAATAGTGCTGTATATAGATACGCAAAGTGAAGACTTAATGATGCTGAATGCAAAAATGAAACAAGGAAATCTCAAAAACAGAAGTAGTGTTTTCTTCTTCATGCAATACTTGTCAACATTTTTAATAAATCTTCTTTTAATTGAATGTTTAAATGTTTTTTGTTCAATTATTTTGTTACTGATTTATTTTATTACTATGAGTAGCCTAAGCCACCATCTTTATTTATAATATTGAAAGTTGAATGTTTACAAGATAAATTATTTTAAAGTTTAAGGCTGTAAAATTTATTTTGTGTAAGAGAAATCCTTTTATGTCACTGTTTCATTTCAGTTTTAAGAAATCCCAATAATTGTTAAGAGTTTGATTTTGAAAAGATGTAGTCCAAATTGTACAAATCGAAAAAAAAAAATCAATAATTTTTAAGAATGTTTGTAAATATGTTTTGGTGTCAATTTTAACATCATTCACAAATCATTGCTTCTATGAAATCATATCTGAAATTAAATTGGTGCTGAATTTACAAGTTTATATATACATGTATATTTGATATTGATAGCTAATCCATTATAGTTTTACCTCTTTAGTGTACATTTAACTAAATCTTTTCTTGCTTCTTTCAATTCTTTTCCTTTAAGTCTGTATTTTTAAAAACTGTAATGGCTTAAAGTTGCGAAGTCAAACAAGTGATGAAATAATGTTGTATACACTCACTTCAGAGTGTCTGTATGTTTTTTCTTCTTGAAAAGACAATTTTGAAAGCAATATGGTTCCATGACTGCTAGATGTTCAGAAGTACACAAGATATCACAATAAATATGTATAAAAGCTGATTCTTTTGTTGTATTGTTTTAGAAGTGAAGGAGGGACTCTTCATGTGCTTTTGGACATGTAGTAATGATATTTGTATCATTAACTGAGAAGTTTGGGTGATGAGGACATTTTACAGATGTTAACTTGGTTTTATTGATAGTGACATTTCTGACTTCCATTTTGTTTTGAGCCACCTTATACATTGAAGAACATAAATTGTCCGTAGTCGGTATTCTAAGGTGTCGCAAAAAGATGTGTTTTTACTTCTTTTCAAGAACCCTCATTCTCTGTAGAAAAATTTCAATTATATTTCTATGTACAACCCCTCCTTACCCCATGTCAAATGCAGTTTCGTCACTCTGATGACCCTGAGAAACAAATATTATAGGACCTAGAAAACACGAATTCACACCAGAACTTTGTCTAAAACTCTAACATCAAAGACTGAATCAAGCACATATTGTAACCATTTAGACCAGAACCATGTCCTTCTCCCCTTTCCTCTTAAAGGTTTGGTGGATCTGACAATGACTTTACTATTTAAGCTATTCAGAATTATGAAGCTATTGTTATATTTTTGGAACGACTGGTGTGCCCTGTTCAGGTAGTATCAGAAACCTGACAAGTTTTTCGTTTAGGTTGGCGGATGGGGGCCGTTTTCAAATATGGAGTGGGGATTCCACATGCAATCTTTTTAATAAAATGATGACGTGAATAGAGTTTATCTAATTCATGAAAAACCTTGTATGATTCATTTTTGTACTGGTGTAACAACGTAATATTGTGTATTTAGTCTTACATATTCTGGTACCTCAAGGGCATTTCTTTACGTTTGCATTAAATATGACAAGAAGGTGGTTTATCAGTGCTTCTTTCTTATTTCTTGTGCTTCGGTGTGTTAGGGAAACAAATTCTTATAGTTCAGGTGCGCCATCTATGACGTCAGTCTGCAAGCAACGCAAACCTCTGCATCACTCTGGCGCTGAAATCATCCCTCCACAAATCAGCAACGCTCCCGTATCCGTCACAACAAATGTTAGCAAAGCAGTGGGTGGAGATGTCATAACAGGTATTTTTCAGTATTTTTTTTTAACTGCTTTCTTTTTTCAAGATTGTTAAATTTGAAAACCTGTAATTTGTCAATCTAATTGAAACTAAATCTAGATTTAATTAATGCATTGGTAGTTTGTTTCCCTAGTTACACTGACAGCTGAAAAGGAACCTTTCAAGGGATTCCTGGTAGACACAGTTACTGATACAGAATCAAACGAAGAGATTTCTACCCATGGAGGGTTTCTTCAATCCAGTTACACTAAACAGGTTCAATGTTCTTGGAAACAAACCATGGTGACACATTCTTCATCTTCGCCAAAGCAAAACGTTACATTACTTTTTAGGGTGCCGAATATGAAAGCTACTATACGATTCAGGTATTGGTCAAAGAGAACGAAGTAAAAACTTATACTGACAGTTAAATTAAATGCATTTGAATTTTTTATCCGCATATTCTTTTTTGTGTCTTTTTAGAGCTACAATAGTTCAGACATACGAAGTTTACTGGATGGATGTAACTTCAGCTGCAATTTCTGTAACACCATCAAGTAAATACTTTTTTTAAAATTCGTGTTACCAAACTATATACATGCACACATAGATAAATGAAACCCAGAACGTGTCACTTAAAACAATCCCATTTTTGGAGAAGGTTGAACTTTATTAGACATTTATGTGTACTTGAGATTAAGTTCAATAATTTCTTACATCTACATTTGATTTTGATATACATGTATATGATTTAAATATTGCACATTTATTATCAAGACCTTTTGTTGTTCATTTCTTAAGATTCTACGGGCTCGAATCTATCGAAGGAATGGCTGAAGAGTGTAGTTAAGACTGCAAAAAGCATGAAGCAGGGAACAGAACAATCAGATATTCGCTCCAGGTTTTCTAAAGGCTTTGATGGAGTGATGAACAATAACAACATTATGGCTTCAAAAGAAATCCTCAACTCTTTGCCGTTCATAATGGCTGAATCGTCTGTTAAGGGAGATCACACGGCGGAAGAAGAGTTGCAGGGTGTGAGTCGGTCAATTGCAAACCTCCTTAAAGGAAATCTAGACTATACAGAAAGAGTAAATCTTTTTCTTGAATAAAACAGACATTTTAAAAACTCACTTGTTTTTTGTTTTTTTTTTATTTGACGGGAAGAGAGAACTATAACTGCCGTCTGATTCAGAGTTTCTTTCAAGTAAAGATCTTGCAAAGGGACAGATTCTGGATTTTGTTCCATTCGAAGACTGCTTCATGAACAGTAGCCTCTATAATTTGCAAAACTACTTCGAGATATTTAAGTTTAATGTGAAATATACGAATTTAATCGAAAAATGACAAATATTATAAAGCTTGCTGCAAATATATATACACATGTACACCAAAAAAATTTCCGGCAATTTCGTAATCACGCTCACGTTCTGTGAGATCATCTCGAATGTCATAGCCAGATTGTCCCAAATGTTAGTCATAAATTGTGTATCCTCTGCTATATTAATAAACGTACACAATATAGCGTTTAGTCTATCGGGTACGCTTTATAAAGACCTAACCAATGGCCTCATTTGTCACAACACGGTTAGCCTCTGGGTATCTGTAGACGGAAGTTTTTTCTCAGTTGGAATATGTTCGTCAGTATATAGAAGTTATACCAGTAAATCACACCCAGTACACGAAACAACTGAGGCCCGAAAACACTTTGTGGTGTTCATTTCTAAGATACTGACGGCTTTTAGAATGGAATTTTTTTCAAAACCGTGAACTATAGTGTACTTTTTCATTGCCTACAGCTTTAAGAAATATTCCACTTCGGAAAATTATACCAAAGTTTTCATTTAAGATTTTTCTCCCCCCGGTGCCCCAATTACGTTATAATAACGTTGAAGCAATCAGAGTGTTTATTTTCGATTTTTCGTTTGACAAGGGCTGGACCCTTGCTAAGTAACTGAAGTGCTTTTTTTAATGACAAAAAAGGATTTGTTTCTTTTAGATATGTATAAATTATTTTTATTGTGTGTTTTTGTGACTATTTGGACCTATGTTTCTTGTTATCCAACCGGTGCTCCTTTGAATGGATACGGATGCCATGGACATGTACGGCACTACAGGGAGGGGAGTTCAACGGAAATATATCCTCCTCAATATACTGTTTCACCATATAAAATTCTTGTGAATACAACACATGTTCATAAAGGAGATATTGTTGAAGGTAAATCCAAAGAAACGTCTTCAGCGCTTTATTTTCTAAGTGCTAGAATTGGATTTTAATGATGAATTGAAGATGTTGGGTTTGTTTTCCTTTTGGTTTCTTTTTTTTAAGAAACAAAAACGTTTTCCAAAGGTATTATAATTATGACAGTATGAATAAAAATAGGGAAAACTGAAAACCTTGTCGCACTCCATCAAATCGCCAGAATTAGTATTTTGTCTCTGTTACATTTTTTAATGGGTAAAAGTGTTGTGTTACCTCTTTTATATAAAATTGTCATTTTGCTGAACAACTTTATGGTTTACTTAAGTGTGAATTCGAAATACATGCTATTTATGCAAGTCACAATAAGCTAGTAGCCTCAAGGATATATACGACTACAGTGTAAATCTTATGCTAAACGGTATAATCAGATCAACTAACATGTTTCGATGAAATTCTGCCTTTCTGCATCTACATTTTTATAGATTCTGTATTATCATTTTATTGAAGTTGCGTTTCAATTTAATGCACAAAAAAGGCTTATTTAATTTAAAAAAAAAATAAAGAATGAAAGACATAAAGGCCGTAAGCCATATTTAAAAAAAAAAAATTAGAGTCCAACCTAGAAATAGAATGAGAAGGTAAAAGAAATACCCTTCAACTCGAACACGAATATCCTATTTCCGGTGGGAAAGGGGTCTCTTACTTTTTTGGGGATCATTTTTTTTTTTTCAAATCCCGTATTTGCCAGTACTTGACCTTAACAACAGAGAGCAAAGGAGGAATTCAAAAAATAAAAATATAGTAAAATACATGTACTAGTACTTAGGAAAAAGGCAATATCCCCCCTCCCTGCTTTTAAAATTGCCTTGTTAACTTTTTTAAATTCTATGAAATTAAGAGACAGAACGAATATTTGGGTTATTTTATTTTAGAAACATTGTTTTCTATGCAATCTGCTTAAACAAAAACGACGGTTACTTAATAAAAGGAGACAGAGGGTGGTTCTTACCATTTTACAATCCTAACATTCATGATTTCGTTATCTCCATACCCTTCTTCCTTGTGCAATAAAAACGCAGTTTTGTCTCAAATGTATGTTTTATTATCTTGTACTTTTAGTAACACTCTACGGGCAGGGAAAGTTTGATTTCTTCAAAGGATTCATTGTGCAAGCATTTCCTGCCGATGTATTTGGAGATAACCCAAGACCAGAGGGAACATGGATGCTTCGGGGCAGGTCCTCGAAAACCATGGGATGTCATCATAATGCTGATACAGTCACACATACCAATAACCAATTCAAGGCAAATTTGACGATGTTATGGCAGGCCCCAGTGGAAAACTTGAAAGACTTCCGAATACGGTAATAGAAATGCATGCATTTGTATACATATTTAAATGAACACCATTTCAATAAAAATTTAATAGGAAAAGAAATTCATTTGCAAAATAATTCGTTTTAGAGCGACCATTGTTAAAGATGCTAAAACACACTGGGAGGGAATCATGTCGCCGATCATAACAGTAGAAGCCCACAGAGGTACGTACAAAACGAATATTAAAATTTGAAATCCCCCCCCAAAAAACCCCTCCCTTTTTAAAGTTAAGTCTTTCCTTGCAAACCGTTTAATAACAGACGTTTGATCATTACAGATATACCAATACCTAAACCCAATCCAGTGACATTCATTACACCAGCGCCAACCACAAAGCCTGACACATCAGATCAGAAGAAGGAGAGTGAGAAGAAAGCTCTTTTAGAACAGTTGGCCAATGAAGTTGGTGCTGATAGTGCAACTGAACTCCTGGAACTTCTGAAAGCAAAAGTCCAAGAAAAGGATGCAAAGGACAGTGGAGTACCAGTTGTTACAGTTCCACCAGTAAAGAAAGATGAGGAGATCAAGAAAATTGCAAACAATGACCCAGTAAAAGAACAGAAAGTAGAAAAAATGTTGGAAGACACTAGTTTGTTAGGAAAAGTGAAAAACCTCTTTGGGGGTGGAGGAGGTGGACTTTTAGGAAAAGTGACTGGTCTCTTGGGTGGAGGAGGTGGAATTAGTGGCATGATGAAATATTTGCCACTTATGATGGGTGTGAAAAATTTAGCTGGAGGAGGGGGTGGGTTAGGTGGAATGTTAGGAAATTTGATGGGAGGGGGAGGGGGACCAATGGGATTACTTGGAGGACTAATGGGTGGAGGAGGAGGAGGGGGAGGGCCCTTGGGTGGATTGTTAGGAGGAGGAGGTTCATCAAACCCCATGGCAGGTTTACTTGGAGGTGGAGGAAGCGATCCACTTGCTGGTCTTCTTGGTGGAGGAGGCGGTGGAAGCAATCCTTTAAGTGCTATGTTTGGTGGGGGAGCTGGAGGGGGAAGTGACCCCCTTAGTGGTCTCATAGGGGGTCTTGGTGGAGGAGGTACAGGGGGTGGGGGAGGATTAGGAGGGTTACTAGGTGGAGGAAGCAATCCTGCAGGAGGTCTTGGTGGAATGTTAGGAGCACTAGGAGGTGCAGGAGGTGCACTAGGTGGACTCCTAAATGGTGGAGCAGGACAAGGTGGCAATTTGGGAACAGCAACATCCTTAACACAGGGAAACAATGGATTGGCTGGAATGCTTGGAATTGATCCTGGTGCCACACCAAACCAAGCACCAAGACCAGAATTAGTGGAAGGCACCCAGTCAAGAGCACAACCAATAGATCCACTTTCATCTATGATTAAAAGTTTGAGTGGTAATGGTGGTCTCTCTGGAATTCTTGGCAACTTGGGTGGAGGAGGAAATACAGCTCAAAGACAACCATATATGGGAGGTCAAATGGGAGGATTTGGACAAAATCCCATGGGAGGACAAATGGGTGGTTCCATGGGCTTCGGTCAGAATGGAATGGGAGGGCCACAATATAACCCTCAGTACCAGGTGATGCAGCAACCTAATTATCCATCCAACCAAATGGGCTTTAGGCAACCTCAATCTGGCTTTTCTCAAGGTAATTTTGCACAAAATGGACAAAACAGAAATGTTGGACAGTACAATCCAAATACAGGCATGAGCCCAAACCAGTTCATGGGATCTGGACAGAACAACTATCCACAAAACCAACAAAATTATTATCCTCAAAATCAGAACAATTACCCACAAAACTTTCAACAAAACCCAAACAATTTCCAAACAAATCCAAATAATTTCCAGCAAAATCCTAACATGCCACAGAACAGAAACTTTGGTCAAGGACAAAATATGGGCCAAAACCCTAACAGTCAGTTCAATCCAAATAGTGGTCCAAATGCCAATAACTTTGGTCAAAATCAAAACAATTTCAATGCAAATCAAAATTTCAACCCAAATTCAAACAATATGGGTACAAATTCACCGAATGGTCAAAATCAACAACTTCCTGGAAATAACAACATTGGACCAACTCCCAGTGTAGGACCTAACATGAACATGGGAAATTCACAATTTCCACCAAACAACATGGGTGGAGTACAGCCACCAATTAACCCCAACACAGGACCAGTCAACAACAACCCACAACCACCTGCCCCTCAACCTAACCCAGTTGCTCCAGTTCAACCACAACCCCCATCACAACCATCGGCATCAAATGACCTTGACCTTAACAGCATTTTTGGTGGTGGAGGTGATCTGCCTGACCTTGGCAGTATATTTAATGAAATGGGTGGTGGTGATGGAAGCAGTGGTGGTCCTGGTGGTGCCGGAGGTAGAATGCCAGATTTGGCAGGACTTTTGGGAGGAACAGACATCTCTAAGTTAATGGGAGATAAAGGAATAGATATGAACCAAGTGTCAGGAATGATGAACAGTCCCCAAGGTCAACAAATGATGTCTAAAGTCAAAGAAATGATGAGTGGACCCCAGGGAGGTCAGCTTATGAATGCTGCCATGGGAATGCTGCAAAATGGAGGTGGATTAGATGGCATATTGTCAGGGCTGGGTGGGGGTGGAGGAGGAGGTGGGGGACTAGGGGCTCTAGCAGGCCTATTAGGTAAAAAATAAAATTTTGGTGACAAAGCAGTTATCACAAATGTGCCAATTTCAGATTACTGTGCTAACATTGATTCCTGTGTGGATCCTCAGAAATAAGACTTATCCTCTCCTCTGTATTGTGTCAGAATGTCAAATAAAAACTGAAAAAACTGAACAATATTTCTGGTTATTAGTTTATGACATTACTATGATCTTATTTTGTCAGACAATATATTAATAAATAGGGCTGGGACAATACAACTTTTTCTATATCGATACGTATCACGATATTTGAGCCACGATACGATATGTATCACGATATGTTTAATTGCTTATAAAATCTTTTTTTGCATTGAAATAAACAAATTATTTCTTTGCAAATGAGAATAATTTATTCAAAATAGATGTTTATATGTTGTAAAACAAAAACATTTTTGTCAGTGGTGTTTTATTTAAATAATAATAAATACATTGATGTTTCAAACCTTTTCAACAATGTCATTGTATCTAAGACAATAGAACAGAAACTGGATAGATAAGCACATTGTTACTGAGTAATCGTGAGGAAATTAAGTTTTGGAAGTTTTCTTGAAGTTAAAAATCTGATTCAGAATTTTCTGTGCAATGTTTTTTTTTCAAAGAAATAAAAAGAGGATGACCATTTAATTAATTGGGATGGAGCTAAAGAATTATTGAAATAAATCAGGTTTCCGAGCTTAGATACCCCTCCTCACTTTTTGATTGTCAAACTCTTCATTAAAGAAAAAGATAAATAATATCTCTTGTCATCCTCTCAACAAAATTAGCTCCCCTCCTGAATCAAAAGACTTAAAGTGCATGCATATGAAATTTGAAATCATTTGTGTTTTGGTCATACATTAATACTCTGCATAAAAATTTACTAGCTCAAGATTGAAAATGAATGTCAGACCAATATTTTATCACTGCAGGCATTAGTGACAAATTGACTTTAACAGATAGGAATGACATAAGCTGAATAAGTTAAATGTTTTGTGGTCTTATTACACTAACCTAGAACCTGTTATTAACATACATTAAAAAAAAAAAAAAACAAAAGTGGTGATTTTCCTTCACAATTTATTATATGATGTACAACATATGTAAATTGAATTTTTAACTAGTGCAATTCATTGACCACAGATGTCGGGATGCAGTACTGTTGAAATGGACTTTTTTAAATCTGAAATTTTACTAACTGGTCAGTGTTTTTGGTGGAGTGACTGGAGTCCGCTTTTCAGTATTTCAGGGCACGGAGCTCTGCTTTGGCCTTTGTACCAGCTCAAGCAAGCTGTAATCCCTCACTGAATATCTTGATCCTGAAGCTGGGATTTATCAATTGAGATGCTGACAACATGATGACCAGGGATCATAGCTAATCCCAAAATACGAGGCTCTTCTTTCTCTTTACTCTCTGAAAAAAACACTTGTACTTTTAAACATTTTTTCTAATCTGAGGTAAATGCACAGTAGTTAATCTGACACTGGTAAGGAAAAACTACTTCACAATAACAAATGGGAATCCAGTTAAATGAGCTCAATAATGAAATCCTCTCTGTTATTTTTAACCTGATATTTTCAAGGGAGGGCTCCTTTCCCCACCCCACTCAAATTGGAAAAACAATAAAATAGAGAGAGCTGCATAATTATAGGTGTTAAGACTACAGAAATAAACAAGAGGCCCAGGGGCCACAGCGCTCACCTGAGCACAACGGGCTTGAATTTAACCCCCCCCAAGGTGTTCATCATTTGAACAAACTAGAATCTTAACTACCTGAGGATGATTCTACATAAAAAACACTAATTGTAGCTTTGAAGTACTTGAAAAGAAGATTTTAAAAGGTTTCCCTATATATCCCTATTTTAAACTTGGGTGGGCCATTTTGGCCCCACCCTAGCCCCAGGGGTCATGATTTGAACAAACTTGAATCTACACTACCTGAGGATGATTCCACATGAATTTCATCTTTCCTGGCTCAGTGGTTCTGGAGAAGAATATTTTTAAAGATTTTTCCTATATATACCTATGTAAAACTTGGGTCGGCCATTTTGGCCCCACCCTTGACCCGGGGGTCATGATTTGAACAAACTTGAATCTACACTACCTGAGGATGATTCCACATGAGTTTCATCTTTCCTGGCCCAGTGGTTCTTGAGAAGAAGATTTTTGAAGATTTTTCCTATATATTCCTATGTAAAACTTGGGTAGGCCATTTTGGCCCAACCCTTGCCCCATGGGTCGTGATTTGAACAAACTTAAATCTACACTTCCTGAGGATAATTCCACATGAGTTTCACCTTCCTGGCCCAGTGGTTCTTGAGAAGAAGATTTTTGAAGATTTTTCCTATATATTCCTATGTAAAACTTGGGTCGGCCATTTTGGCCCCACCCTTGACCCGGGGGTCATGATTTGAACAAACTTGAATCTACACTACCTGAGGATGATTCCACATGAATTTCATCTTTCCTGGCCCAGTGGTTCTGGAGAAGAAGATTTTTAAAGATTTTTCCTATATATTCCTATGTAAAACTTGGGTCGGCCATTTTGGCCCCACCCTTGACCCGGGGGTCATGATTTGAACAAACTTGAATCTACACTACCTGAGGATGATTCCACATGAGTTTCATCTTTCCTGGCCCAGTGGTTCTTGAGAAGAAGATTTTTAAAGATTTTTCCTATATATTCCTATGTAAAACTTGGGTAGGCCAATTTGGCCCAACCCTTGCCCCGGGGGTCGTGATTTGAACAAACTTAAATCTACACTTCCTGAGGATAATTCCACATGAGTTTCAACTTCCTGGCCCAGTGGTTCTTGAGAAGAAGATTTTTGAAGATTTTTCCTATATATTCCTATGTAAAACTTGGGTCGGCCATTTTGGCCCCACCCTTGCCCCGGGGGTCATGATTTGAAGAAACTTGAAGCTACACTACCTAAGGATGAATCCACATGAGTTTCATCTTTCCTGGCCCAGTGGTTCTTGAGAAGAAGATTTTTAAAGATTTTTCCTATATTTTCCTATGTAAAACTTGGGTCGGCCATTCTGGCCCCACCCTTGCCCCGGGGGTTATGATTTGAACAAACTTGAATCTACACTACCTGGGGATGCTTCCACATGAGTTTCACCTTTCCTGGCCTAGTGGTTCTTGAGAAGAAGATTTTTTTAAAATGCCATTAATTTTTCTCTAATTCATAATTACCTCCCGTTGGAAAAGGGCATGGCCCTTCATTTGAACAAACTTGATTCCCCTTTACCCAAGGATACTTTGTGCCAAGTTTGGTTAAAATTTGCCCAGTGGTTCTTGAGAAGAAGATGAAAATGTGAAAAGTTAACGACGACGACAACGACGATGACTACGACAACGACTACGACAACGACAGACAACGGACAAATTTTGATCAGAAAAGCTCACTTGAGCCTTCGGCTCAGGTGAGCTAAAAACTTAAGTTGTAAGCTATGCATAGATAAGAAATATTTGATACATACCAGGTGGCCTCAGATACTCTTCACATGAACCTAATATAACATTTCTGTCCTTGTCTGTACAAAGGAATATCCCTACAAAATAATTGAAAACTAATATGTTTTTTTTCTTAAATATGTTTTCAAATTTATCTGAGTCCTGTTCAAATGAGAATAAAGGCTTAGGTAAACAACAGATATGACCTTGCATGTGTATGTCAGAGAAACACCCTCTTAGTTAAAAATTAAATTAAACAAGGGCACCGCTAAGCGGAGCATCCCCTCGCGGCAGGAACATCACTGTAATGGCAATATCTCATGAGAGATAAATTTTCTAGAGGGACTTTGAACATGTTACAGATTGATAGTACAACGTTTCTTCTTTAATGTCCCTCTCATGAATATTTTGCTCATATGAAGGCTTGCCGGTGGAGAGCTGCACATCTTTTCCTATAATAGGTACTGACGGCCATTGAGCAGTGAGGGATCTTTTTGTGCCAGCATCTATTGGGACATGGGCCCTTGGTTTACACGGTCTCATTCGAAGGACCAGTCTCCACGTCCCACAGTGGGACTGGAACCCGCAACGTAAGGATCAACTCCCTTACTTTTGACAAAATAATTAGTGGAGTGTTGTTGCTGATCCATTTTTTTTTTACAAAATGCAAAGTGCAAAGCGTCTAGGTTAAAGGGGGGGGGGGGGGGGGGCATAACATTGATACCTAATTTTGGATAGTAAAGTTTAATATAAGGTATTAAATTGTTTTTCAGCTCTATTTATTTCTTTAACAAAATTATGGGAGATGGGGGTGTCTATTTTTAACAAAAATCAAATTGCATATCATTTAAGTTGGAAGGGGATGGGGGGCATAATATGCATACGTAATTGGGCAGTTTCCCTTATTTTAAATACCAAGTAGTTCTAAACATATCACGTATGCTACATGTACAAGTTTCAGTAATTTTAATTATTTAACAACCTAATTATTATATTTCACAGTTCCAGGCAATATGCATTTTTTTTCGTAATGAAAAATAACAATGTACATCGAGAGTTTATTTGAACTTGTGGCATAGGCATCCGAACCAGGGGGGTGAGCTTAGCCTCCCACTTTTTTGCAAATACATGTATTGACAATTTCTATGCATTGAAAATTAGGGTTATCTTTTTTGTTGGTTTAACCCCCCCCACACACACACACTTTCAATTTAACGTGCATCCCAAATTCTCAGACACCTGTTGGAATTTGGTAATGAAACCGCGACGTTCATAATTTTTTTTTAAATCTGGTTTCCACAGACTCGACATGGTTTTTAAACTGGTTCCTTAGCGGAAATGATTATTGTGTACTCGTACATAAAATGTCAGGGTTTCGAGACAGTGAAAATGCGATATCTGAGGAATTATTTCATCACTGAACTTGAAAATTAATAGGCTTCTTCCTTTTATACTGCCACACAAGTATGTAAACGCTGAGAGTGGTTAATGCAAAGGTTCTCTGTCAATCTTGCCCACAAATGTTTATTGTCAACTATTGCATAAAATGTCAGGGTTTCGAGGCAGTAAAAACGCGATATCTGAAGAAATATTTCATCAATGAACTTAAAAATGAATAGGCTTCGTCCTTTTATACTGCCACACAAGTATGTAAACGCTGAGAGTGGTTAATGCAAAGGTTCTCTGTCAATCTTGCCCACAAGGTAACGAACACACTAACACACTAACACACACACATACATACGCACATTCGCGACACTATATCCCCTCCGCAACTAGTTGCGCGAGGGGATAAAAATTGTTTGTTAGTTCATAATGGCAAAGAAACAAAGATCACCGAGAATTTTCTATGTCTAAAATCTATATTGAGGTTTCTTATGGTAATAAAAATGCTTTTTGTTTCAGGAGAACTTTGTCACCATTTCTCTGTTCACAGAAAAATATCCTTGTTATGATTCAATGAATTCTGTTACTTTTTATACAAACTTGAAATGACGAATTTTTTTTTCAAATCATGGAAATTTAAATTGAGTACTAAATCTCATTCATCTATACAATTACCTGCTCTAAACATTATGACATAATGCAGATTCAAGGGATAAATATTAAACTAGTCAGCAGCTAAGGAGGCCTAATATGCATGTAAATCTTGTGTGCATCTGTCTTTGTGTCTGCAGCTAAGGAGGCCAAATATGTATGCAAATCCTGTGCAGCTGTCTTTGTGTTTGAAGTCAGTTGGCAACGACTTTTGAAATTGACATGGGAGGCCTTGTGTAATTCAAATCAATTAGTCTACATTTTAAAAGTCTAAATCTACAATTTTATTTCACAATGAAATGGAAATATAATGAATCACTGTGTCTGTCTAGTTAGTACAGCAGGACATTTACGATAGTGATAAACGTGGGATAATTTATGCATAACGGGCTTCACCCCTTATGCAAATTATCCCACATTTCCTAATATCGTTGATGTCCCTGGCATACTATACTAACTAGACAGTGATTCCTTAAATGTAGGAAACGACCATCTCCACTACCTTAAACCTACCAATAAGAGTTCTCCCATCTGTCATTCTGACCTTCATGCTTTTGTTAAGCCAACTAGACAACTTTTTCTTTCCTTCGCTTACATCTTTATCATTATCTTGCTTTTCCTGAAAAAAAATTTGGAAAATTTATGCATTGTTATTGATATTACCCCTAATGGCCCTAACATTTTATGTGCATTGAAAGAGTTATGTAAATGTAGACAATAGGGTTCCTTAACGGATTCCGATTGTTCCAGGCATGTAAAAAATATCTAATTTAATGCTTTAGTTTGATTAAATGCAGTCTAAATCATCAAGGAAGCTAAAGTCCACTGCATTATCATTTTGATACACCAAATATTTCCGAGGAAATTCGAGTCGGTAGTATAAATAGCTTTGCAGAATAGCAAACATTTCACTGCCATCATGATTTTTAATTAGCTTACTGATGAATTCGGTATATTCAGATTATCATTATGCTAAACAGTCATATTAAAACATAAAAAAAATAGAGATGAGCGATATAAAATTAGGATTTGTAACACAAAAGTCACTGACCATCACTTCCCCTGCCATCGTGGCTAGTTCCCAGTAAGAGAACCAGCAAAATCCATAACTAAGAATTGAAGAAAGAAAAAAAAGAAAGAAGAGAGAACCTATGTTTAATTTAAAAATATTTAATGTTAAATATTTTATAAATATTTTGATAACAATAAAATTTATTGACAAGAATTGTTAAATATTTTGTGATATGTATACAATATGACTATTTCAATATATTTTCGTTTTGTTTTATGATTCTTCTGATAAATTGTTGATTTCGTTGTCAAGTTGATATTGACAACTTCAATTTAGAGGCAAAATGGGAAGGCCGAAGTACTTCACACCAAACGAAGTTTCTGTTCATAATACCGCCGACGATTTATGGGTTTCGTTTCTTGGAAAGGTCTACAATTTAACTCCACTTTGTGAAAAATACAAAGGTAAACATACACATGAAAGTTTCAATGTCAAATTCAAAATATTGAAAATAACAATAACTATCGTATATAGATAACCATGGTTTGTGCACTTATTTGAACATCATACAAATGTTTTCTCGTGTTCTGCTACTTGGCGATCAAATTTCAAGCGTTTATTTATACTGAATATTATCTGTATACAAGAAATTCTTTTCTTGGTCGAAACAATTTACCAAACATACTTGTAAATACTAAATACTCTTTTCTTTTCTCCTTTGGTTTACTACACTTTAAGAATAATGCATATATTTCGGATCAAGTGGAGTTAACGGATATGTAGTTCCATATTACGGCAGATATTTTTTCATATAGTTGTGATTTGTTTATATTTTACTGCTAGAAATTAAAACAGGTTGACAGGTCGGCAGGTAGTTAGAATAATCTAACTGTGTCTCGGTACAGGCCCTCACCACAGTTAGAATACGTCCCATATACTTGTAATGTAGCAAATCGGAGCGGATCCGCTCCGAAACGATTTTGAAGAATATAAAATGATTTGCACTGGGAATAACTACCAAAATAATCAAAACAAACCTTCTTGAGATTGCTTATGCCTTTTATCCCAAAAAATAATCCATATAAATACGAAAATCCAATTAATTTTCTCAACGTTTTTCTCTCGATTCAAATTACCGGCCATGTTTACATTCGGAACTCTCTAGATTGTTCCAAGTAAATGCACTATGCGAGTTATCGCCCGTGTTTCTTTCTGCTACATTACGAATACACGGAACGAATTCTATCGTTAAACCGGGTCCGTAGGACAATATCATTTTAACGATAGAACATTCTATCTAGTCGGCAGGTAAACATTTGCTAATATACAGGTCGGCAGGTCCGTCGCAAGTCGGCAGGTAGACAGGTCGGCAGGTCGGCAGGTAAACATTTGCTAATATACAGGTCGGCAGGTCCGTCAGATGTCGGCAAGTAGACAGGTCGGCAGGTAGATATGTCGGCAGGTCGACAGCTAAGCAGTTTCTGGTTAGTCCTCGCACATTATTTGACAGATTAGGGTTAGTCTAGCATCCACCTAAGAGATTAGGGTTAGTCCTCGCGCATTATTCGCCTGAATAGGGTTAGTCTCGCATCCGTCCGAGAGATTAGGGTTATTCCTCATATATTTTTCGAGAAATAAGGGTTAGTCTAGCATCCACCTGAGAGATTAGGGTTAGTCCTTGCACTAGTATTCGACTGATTAGGGTTAGTTTCGCATCCATCCCAGAGATTAGAGTTTTTCCTCACACATTATTCAACTGATAAGGGTTAGTCTCGGATCCATCCAAGAGATTAGGGTTAGTCCTTGCACTAGTATTCGACAGATTAGGGTTAGTCTCGCATCCATCCCAGAGATTAGAGTTAGTCCTCGCACATTATTCGACTGATTAGGGTTAGTCTCGCATCCATCCAAGAGATTAGGGTTAATCCACGCACATTATTCTACTGATTAGGGTTAGTCTCGCATCCATCCGAGAGATTAGGATTAGTCCTCGCACATTATTCTACTGATTAGGGTTAGTCTTTCATCCATGCGAGAGATTAGGGTTAGTCCTCGCACATTATTCTACTCTCCACTTGAGCTCTGATGGCCGACCTGTCTACCAGTCGACCTGTCTTCCTGCCGACCCATCTACCTGACGACCTATCTACCTGCCAACCCATCTACCTGCCGACCTGTCTACCTGCCGAACTGTCAACCTGCTGATCCCGACCCATTTACCTGCCGACCTGTCTACCTGCCAACCCCTCTACCTGCCGACCTGTCTACCTGCCGAACCATCTACCTGCTGATCCCGACCCATCTACCTGCCGACCTGTCTACCTGCCGACCCGTCTACCTGCCGTCAACCAGCTGTGTACCTCTCTTCCTTTTTTGTACACATATACTTTCTGACCGAAATATGCGTATGAATATACAAATATAAATTATTGCGCCACTTTTGCACTCTCCAGCCTATATTTCTTTACCTGTCAAATTTAATTTTTTGTGATGTTTACATTTAGGTGATGTTTTGTTAAAGCCTATCATACAGTCAGCTGGAAAAGATATTTCACACTGGTTCAATCCAAAAACAAAAGAGGTAAAATCCATTAAATAAATTAGTGAAAATTGTCATAAAATTAGAATGTAACCAATAGACAAAGAAATACAGTTTTATTTTATGAATTTTAATAATTTTAAAATAACATTATTGAAAACTGTTTAATTTGTTTCAATTTTAATCTCTTTTCAACTGCTTTTTTATATATCATAATTCAGCAAGAATAACAATATATCAAGAAATCATTAACATTCCAGAATCAGAAGATTCATTTACTCTTTACATTATTTTTTATTATTTCAGATCCGTACACATGTAGATCCACAGACAGGCTGTGTCATACCGTACTGCCCTAATGGCCGGTTCATTCACATCCCGCCCCCCTACCCAGACAGTGACTGGGCTAATGATTTCGGCCGCCCCTGGTGGAGGGACGAGGGATACCTTGTTGGAATTTTGTCAAAGAAAACGCGAAACATCAAAATTATCAACACTCTTACTTCACAAGACCAAGTTATTGAGGTAAGTTAATTGTATTGAAGCTGGTCAACTGTTTCTGAGCAGCTGAGGTCCACTGCTCATAAATTAAAATTTCTCATTGCCCATTTCCAAATCAAACAGTCATTAATCAGAGACAATATTTCAAGTAAAATTTAAGTTTTATACACATGATAAATATCATTCAGTGGGAAAAGCCTTCATCACACAATGATTTAATGTTTCTATAATAAGAATGATCTTATATTAAAATTGTACATATTTCTGATATAATATAGGTGGGATTAGTACCTGTAATTGAACTTTATCCAAAAAAAGCCATGAAAAAGTTTCTCATTTGTTGCAGGTGTGTTCAGAGGAAATAATGACAGAGATTCTGGCCCGTTATCTTCGTTACAATGCCCATGCTGCAAGCTATACATGGAAATACGATGGCAGAAACCTGGATATGGAAAAGACACTAGAAGAAAATGGTATCCCAGATGAGGATGAGGAGTTTTATAAACTGAGCATGAATGATGACACTTTCCTTCAAGCAATTCATTTATACTTCAATGATGACTTAACAGAGGCTTAACTCTGTCATTTGTTGATTGTTATTTTTGAACATGTGTAAATAGACAAACTGTAATATTATGTTTTATATGTATATATAAAAAAAGGTATCAAATATTTGGTTAACTTTTACTTTATGTGATCATACATTAATGTTTAAAAATGATAGTGATCACCATTTTAAAAAATCCTACTGGTACATGTATGTGATGTGCTTGGTTTTAGAAAATAGTTAAGTACAAGGTTATCACAAGTCTTTAGTAATTTGATGTAAGGAGAAATATGTTCATGGCTTTAAGGGAAGTTTTACATTGTTTAAAATTATTAGATATGACAATTATATGTAATTAATGATTAAGAGAAATAATTTAAATATTTTTTCTTCAAATATTTTACAAAGAAAAAAATTATAGGGATAAGTTATGGTTCTTTTCTGTGGCATTGAAATCCTGATGTCATTTTTCTAATTCTCTATATGCTCTACGAATTTGTGGGGGGGGGGGATTAAATAAACCACAAACAATTTGTCCCAACATGAAAATCATATTCTGTTGGATAGGTTTTGGGGTTGCTTCATGACTCCTCTCCATACAATTTCAGCAGGGGTCAGTTTTGTTTTTTTTTTAAGTGAAGAAATAAAAGAGGAAGTGGTCCAATTTTTTTTTTAATACTTCACTATAAAAAATACAATCTGAAATCCCCTGGACTCCCCATGCTCCCCCATCACCTCCGATCTGTACAAATGGATTCGGAGCAAATTCACTGAATTTGCTTAGAATGTCCCAATAAATTACAGGGAATTATCAATATAATATATAGGATGCCGGTAAATACCAATTAATCAAGATGCATGGCACATCTAAATCACTAGTTAATTATGCACACGTCTGTTAAAAAAAATGATTTCGTGTTTTTCTTTAAAATGATCCTATCTCAGCCCCCACCCCACCCCATCGATCGAATTATTTACCACAACACTAATCTTCAAACAAGCAGGAACACCCAGAGGTGCACCTATGTCCTATATAATGTAGAACCACTCAAGCCGATGTATTTTTTTCAATTTAATGTATTGCTTTGTGTCCTGTTATTTAATCCTTCTAGTCATAATACGACTTTTCATTTATTGTACCTAAAGGAATATACAAAACAAGTTAGCGTAAAGCAGTATCCATTGGATTTCCAGATTTTTTAAGGGGGGGGGGGGGTACCTGGTGTCCGAAATTAGGGATTGCAGCACATTTTAATATCAATTTCAGAGTACGTAAGTAGAATCAAAGTGATTTAATTTTTTAACAAATTAATTTTGTTGGTGACTAACCACACGTTAAGAAAATGTCCGAGTTCCATTTTTGTTGAAGAAGCTATTATGTTTTTGGTGTGAATTTTCAATTCATTGTGAGGAATGATATTATAAAGTGATGAAAACCCGTAGTTAGAAATCCATTATATTTATGGTTTAGGGGTATCGAAGTCTGTGAAAGCCCATTTAGCTCATTTTCGTAGGTTCAAAAAAATCAGTTTTACGCGTTAAAACGTGAAATTTTCGCGATTAAAATATAACGCATAACTTTCGCAAATAAACGCAAGTGTGACGTGTTTCTATAAATGTTTTATTTCCACAGGTTGAAATAAAACCAATTCCTAAAATACAGCTATAATAATAGTCTCACAAACAAAGACGATATCATTATAAGCTTTATTAACATCACCGCGATAATTACGTTTCAGAACCAGCGTAACTGCTTGTACATGTAGTGGAAAGAAGGAAGTTAAAAGATGTTCTAGCTCTTTTAATATATCCATGCCAGGCACGTAGCAACCGGAGGGGAGGGGGGGGGGGCAGGCTTGCTATTGAATCCATCTTAACTGTCACAATTTGTCTTTCTCAACGCTGTTCAACCAGTTCAAAGTTTACGAGTACCAAAAGTTAAACTTCAAGCTTATTAATTTCGGGGGAAATCACCCCTTTCCGGTTTTTTATGCAATCTTTAGAGAATTTGAACTAATTTTATTCTATAGAGATCAAGATCTCAGAAAATTGACAAAATGAGGTAAACATGGTAAATTTGTCGTGTCCCACCGCATTTGTGAAAATTGGATAGCAGATTTCAATTTGTCTCCGTTGGATTCACTGTGGAAATTAGATATCGTATTTTGAGGTTTCACCACGTTGTCATTCCATTGCCTACGAAAACATTGACATGCAATTCAAAGTGTACAAACTCTGCTGTATACCTTCATAGTTTTTATTTATGGCTAGTCCACGAACTTCTCTATAACCCAATATAAAAGTATTGGAGACAATGAAATTATACATTGTTCATTCACTTTTAAGTTATATTTCTATAGTGTATAATTTTTTGTCCAAAATGATTGATTGCTTAATTTACTAGTGGTACAGTTGTAGTAAATGTTACTGATTAAAAAACAGCTAGAAAAAATGTCAAGTGGAGATTTTCCTTAAGAAATAATCAGTCTAAAGAATTCAACAATTGAAAAACATGTACAAGAAAGTAAAATTCATTTTATTAATTCAATAGTAAGGTTTAAAAAAAAAAATAAAATATTCTGATGACTAATCTATCCAATTCTAGCATCATATTTTTTCGCGAAATAACGCGAAATTTATGCGTTTATTCGCGAAAGTTTCGCGTTATAACGCGAAATAAAATATTTTTCTTACCTACGAAAATGAGCTCATTGGGCTTTCGTAAGGATATGTAGTATTGTATGGAAAAAAATGTAAGTGAAAGGAAGTTGGTCTTGAAAAAAAGTTAGCTACTACCCCCCTTTTTTTTTGTTGTCAACTTTTTCAGGTACATGTACGTAAAAAAAAAATTTCTCTGGTTGACCCCCCCCCCCCTCCACTTTCAAAAACGATGCTACGTGCCTGCATGCTTGCGATGCTTTTGAGCCTTCTGGAGAGATATTGTTAGTATTTTGTTAGTCAGTTTGGGGCGCGATACTTTCAAAAATACCTTGAAAAGCAAAAACTATTAAATTAAATATTTAATATTGAGGGATACTAGCATATAAAAGCTATATTTTTCAGCGTTCTAATATAAATGTCGGCAAAGTTATTGGGGAGGGAGGCATTCCCCCTTGCCTGACGTTGTGTATTAATCGAATGGATTCTGATTTTGTTACTTTTAAATATTTTAATATTTTATCTTGTATATGTACATTAAATGTCTTTTGTACATTTGAATGTAAACTTTTATCATATACTCTGCATGATATTTTGAAATAGGGAGGGTGACAATATAACTGACATCTTCCAGCATCAGTCGCACATACCTAAATATTACCACCTATTAAGGTATGCCCCCTCCGCTCTCACATAATTTTGTTGAATTATAAAAACATTCATCTTATAACTACTAGTACTGTTCTTGCATAAACATGTATTTATTGTAGCAGCTGTGTTAGTGAAATCGACGCCATACCCCCGGGCAGCATACCATGACAAATTGCTACTGAACTGTCGGTGAGAAACTTGTATAAGTTGTCTTTCTTGCAATTTAAAAACAAAATGGCTGTGAACAGGTGCGTCCAGGTAGACTAATTTTTGAATGCTGTTTCGCTGCTGATTTTCTTTAATTTCAACACAATGGAGTTAAAAGTGCTTTACGCAATAACTTTGTTATTTATTGGTTGTCCTCTCTCCGCAGGTAAGCTAATTCCTTCCTGATACTTAATTGTTTTTAATTAAATTTATCTATTTCCGCATTTAATTATACAGTTTCAAAATTTCAGAATATTTTGAAAGAGAGAAAGATAGAGGATAGAGAGAATGTGGGTATTTTTAAAATTATGTAACCATTTCTTTCCAGCTTTACTGTGCTCTCAGTGTTATTCAATGACAGTCAGAAATCAAAGTAACATGGACCCGCTGTTCCAATCTGTGGCCCCGAGTCTCTATAGTTCCCAGTGTGGGGCAGAGTACCACCGTGCACTCGGCGTCACTCCCCAACCAGTGATGGGCTCGAACCAGCAACCCGTCCTGCCCACCACGTGTCAGATCATGGCAGTGGCGGGAACTAACACCGAGATTCGGTGTGGTTTTTACACTGGATACATTGATGTCACCACCCATAGCGGAGAGGGTAGGTTTTCTTGTCCCTTTATCAGCTGTTTAATATATCATAGAGTTATTGTAAAAACTAAAAAGTAACATCAATTATTTAACATGTAAATGTAACATTTTCTTGTGTATTATTGGATCAAAAACTCAGTTGTACATTAGAAGAGGCCTCTTGCTGGGTCCTTTAATTTGAGCTATCTTAGCTTTTTTTATCAAAACAATATTCATTTCCATTCATATATTGATTAAATATTATTCTTTTCAGTTAAAATTAAGAAGAAAAAAAAATACCAAAAAGTCTGACATATCTGTTTCAACTTTCATACTTGTATATGTGATGAATTCAACTTTTCTATCAGGAACCTGTGGCAGTTTACCAATATTACCTAAATATATGATTTACATCCCATAGTTGATTCAATATGCAAGACCATGCTCTACACAAGTATGAACAATATCTTGAAATAGCAAATTGTTGACAAATAAGTTTATGATACAACGATAATAGCAATCATATCAAAATTCGGCATTTTTAAAAATCATGCTGCCAATACAATGACCTTGCAAACAATCTATCATTAAGCAGAATGTTGATTGATTGAGGTTTTTTGATACAGATTCTTTGATGGTCATGACAAGGAGCACAAGGCAGGTTTGACGGTCAGCAGGAATGCTTGCTCCCCTTTTGTACTTGATCCTATGTCTGAGTCAGACGCTTTTAGAGTATTTTGATTTGCTGTGCTCCCATTTTATATGAGTTGTTTGTTATCTTTATATTCTAAAAAAAAGACTCAATAGTCAATTTTAACATTTTCTTTTTTATATTTTTAGGTAGAGCCTCCTTAAATGTTTTCTCCATGACCTGCTTTAACGTGGATGTGAACGTAGAATGGCCGTGCAAGGCTAGAGAGTTTCCTATACCTGGAGACCACCGGCACTTTGATCTCATCCTGCAGAACAAATTTAGAAATTTACTGAAACTAACCAGATTTGTCGGCAGCGTGTGCTACTGCCGCCGCCCTGACTGTACTGACGTCACTAATGGCAGTTCCGAAACAGTTCCATCAGTTGCTCTCAGTTTGCTATTGAGTGTTTTAGTTCTCTTTAGAAAATTTTATATCTAAATATATTTTTTTACAATTTTTAAGCGAAAATGTTTTTTAAAATGCTCATTTTATTCAATTTATTGCAAACTTTTATTTTTTCATCAATTACACTGTGTCATAATCTTGAGCCAACAACAAATTGCAAGGATATGTGTTTTTCATCTCATAACTACCTTGCATTCTTAACTACCCAATGAGTTGTATAAAATACAGATTGTTACTAGAAAGAATTATATGTGAAAAGTGATGTAGAAGAAATCTACAAAATATATGACAGATTGCTGATTTTTTTCTTCTTCATATTTCAGAGTTTATACATGTTTTTGAATCTCAAGTGTACTTAGTATATACTTGTAATTGTATGGTATTGGTAACCAATATCAGGTTTATTTTTATTTGTCTAATGTTAGGGGAAGACTTGAGGATATATGTATTCAGAAATCTGAGTTCAACTTGTATTATTATACATGTATATTTTTCAGCATTTGTATGTGCCATTTATTTGTATAAACTGTTGGGCATTTTTCTTAATGTGTCCTACCCTGTTCTTGATGCATATTTGGTATTTTTAAATATATTTTGTGCAATTTTACAATGTCATATTATTAAATATATTCTTTTTTAAATCGGTTTTACAAGTTGTTCCCCTGGATATGTATACACAACTTTTCTTCCATATAAATGTTATATCTTATTATATGTCGTAAAAGGTTATGATTAATACATTATTATGATATACCTTGACTTGGAATAAAAATATATCAAAATATATACAACTGTACTAGAGAAAGCTTATGCTGAAGTATTTCAAGTTTTGTTTGTTTGTTGTTTAATATTCCTCTCGAAAATTTCTCACTCATATGGAGATACCACCACTTGCTGGTGGAGAGCTGCAAATTTTGACCTATACTTGGCATTTAAGGTCATTGAGCAGTGAGGGATCTTTTTGTGCCAGCACCTACTGCAACATGGGACCTCCATTTATATATGATCTCATCCAAAGGGGTATTCATCCAAAGGACCAGTCTCCATGTCCCACAGTGGGATTTGAACCTGTGACAAACAATCAATCCAATGGGTTCCAATACGTTTTGTCATCATAACCATCCTTGGAAAGGCTAGTTAGATTTTATAATTTTTTAAACACAGCAATTCAGGGCTGTATCTATTAGATACAATTTTCTTCTTCACATATAGATTTCATTACAATACAGTGACTAGCCCAAATAAAAATGTACTCCTTGTGCTCATATATTTCAAGGGCTTCCAAAAGTGGGCTGGAGCCAAAGTTCAAATGGGAATTGGATGTAAATATGATAGCCCTACCAACATAAATGATCTATACATGTATCTTCCTATTATGTTTCTGTTTATGGTAAATGTAGTATTCCGATAGGGTACATGTATCAGTGATTGAGTGCATGCCAAAGTTAAAGCAATTTTTTTTTTATCAATGTGCTGGGGGACATAAGTACATCATCCTCTGTGTCTCATTTTTTCTACATGCCCTATACAGAATCAAAGTTTTAAAAATGCAGAGTGTTATCTGCCTTGCTAGTATACACAACTTTTTTTCTGTCTGTAAGATCAAGCTGTCTATACAACCTTGCTTACTCAATCAAGAAAAGAAAATCTTGTCTACTTTATCATAACATTCTTTATTGTACAAGGTTTCATTCATTCAAACACCGAATGTGTTTAAATATACATATTATTCAAGTCAACAGTCGTAGTCTTTCAGTACATAAAATTTTTAAATGTATTCTTAAAGACAACGACAAAAAAATAAAAACATGAAAACAATACACCCAATAAGTAATTGTTATACAATGTCAGACTGCTATGATGTGGTGTAGTACAAATATAGACTCTCATTTCAGATGTAGTATGACCAAGCAAGATTAACAGGAATAAAGATCTGAAAAACTTTAACATTCTTATAACTCCAAAAGACTGACATAAATATGAGCCCTATATCTATATAAGTAAAACAAATTGTTGTAGTTTTTAATGTACATTTTTTTCTCTTTTCAAACTCCAAAAACTTTTTATCGGAGGTTAATATTGCTAGCCAATCAAAAAAGATGTTACAGACCAGAAGCTTAGTAATACACGTAGAAGCATCATTTTTTACCCAGAATTCTACAATATCTTGACAGCCAATAATTTTGAAAAAATCTTTAAGTACAAAACTGTATAAACTGACATGCAGCAGAGTTGAATATAGTCTCTATATAATAAGCACTACTAAATTCTAACATACAAAGCTAAATAGCATCTAAGAGAAGAAAGTATATAAGTATTAAGGCAAAGGCTAAATTCTAAAAGAAGGCTAAGTACACTGTACAATCATACATACATTTTAACAAGTGATAGTAAGAAATAAGTGAAACTTTTTCCCAATGGGAGGTAACCTTGGATAAGCAAAATATATTACCTGGGTAACTTTTACAGTATTTTTCAGTAAAAATGTTGACTTCAAAATTATGCAAAAGATTCTGAGAAATGGATTATCGGTACATTATCAGATGTTAGAAATATTATGCCAAAAATTGCTCTTTGAAATTGCAACTGATTTTACTTTAAGTAAACCCACTTTTATTTGCAAAAAACTTTGAATCCCCATTAATCAAATTTTCTGAGCCTGGAATCATTCCAACATTTACAGTATCAATAGATAACTGTGATTGCCTGAATCCTTGACAGTGAACGAGTGATACATGTATCAGAAACAAATTGTGGTCATGACATGATTGTTTTAAAAAACTCATATGAAAGAACTCTACTCAATTTTCCTTGCAGTGCAAGGTAAAAGCAAACAATGCTTCACACATGTTTAGAAAAAAAAATAAAAATGTAGATTTTTACAAAGTGATTTGTATAATGAATAATGATTTCTTCCAAAAAAAGCTTTCCTTTTTATTATTATTTGCAACTGGAACTTAAGGTCTGACAAAATGAACACACAGATTAATGTTCAATATATACTCATCAAGATGTACAGCTTAATGAAGTATGTCGCCTAAAAATGGATCCTACTGATACAAAAACTTAAAAAATCAAGACCTTAAGTTTCCAGTATAGAGTTGAATCACAGTTTCTGGAACACCAAGTTTCAATCAATTTACCAAACCCTTGGACATCTCTCTTAAGTTTTTAAGCAACTTCTAAATTTTAATAGTGTTTTTTTTCCTCTATAGAATAAACTTCTTAAAAAGGGACTACATGTGCATTGTATATTTGAAGCTCATTCATGCATATGAATATATACAGTAAAACATAATACTACTAGGAAAAAATGCTTAAATACAGGCTAATATTAACAAAGCCAATTTTTACATTCTCTTGCAAAATAAGAAATAAAGGACTTATCTTGACTGTTCCAGGCTATATCCTAATTTTACTTAAAACCCAACTATGGCCTATTGATACTTAGTTTCTTCAATTTAGCTTTACTTCAGAAGTACAGTTACTGGCTAACAAAGTTCAAACACTTGACCGAACACAATTCCCTCAGCCCCCCACCCCCCAAAACAACTACACAAAAATGCTGCAATTCAGAAAGCCTAGCTGGAAAGCAGTCAAAGAAATATTTCTTCATCACACAAAAAACATTACACTATTGCTGTCAGAGTTCAAAAAGCTTCCAAAATCGCGCAAACAAAAAACAAAACAAGTACAGAATACACTAAATCTAGTGATGAATCTATAATTTGAATATGAGACCCATGAACCAATATGCTGTCTTCAGACTGCTTACTCATTACCTTTGCTGAACATAATAACAGGAACCCAGACTTGACTATTACCTAGGCTAAACAAAGCAGCAGGAACCCGGACTCGAAAATATTCAAATTACAATATACATTTGAATGATAACATACTAGTAGTTTATCATTTTTGGCCTTCAGATCTAGAGATTATCTCCCCTTGGATGAGAAGTGGCATCTCCATTCAACATGAGTCCCATTCATTCTTATGCATTAGTTTGGTTACAAAAGGTATCAAGGTTAAGTCAAAAGACAGTGAGAAAGACAGGTAATGGGCTGATTTCACAGATAATGGGCATACTTCATAGATAATGGGCAAACTTCTATCAAAATACACAAAGCAAAGGTCAGCTTAAACACTTCAGCCATTTGAGTGAGAGATCTTAGCTCATGTGAAAGCAAGCAGTACATGTATGTATTTTCTTTCAACTTGAGTAGAAACATGATTAAGTGAAATGTGCAAGTAGATGCTTAGATAATTTCTAAGTACTGAGAAGGAATATGTTTAGCATTATGCTATAGAGAGAGATTCATAGAATCCAATTTGCATTATAGCATAAATACCCGGTAATGACTGACAAAAATACATCTACAGCAAGTGTAAGATAATGAATTCCTTGAGAATGTTGGTAAAACTACATACATTTTTCTGCATTAATAAATAAATACATGTACATATAATCAACCTTAATGAGTAAAAGTAACCAACCGGACAGTTGTGTCCTGACCTTTGAAACAAATATACTTCTACAAGCTAGACCAAGACTGAAATCTGTCCTTCAAAAAAATAATATGGCTTTGAAATGCATGGAACAAGTCATTAAAAATGCCAAAATAATTGAAAGAATTCAAAACAATCAAATGCTCTAAGCTCTGGTGAATGATTTGTAAAAGACAAAATATTCCACATCAGAAGTTGTTGTAAAAAAAATTCCAGCTTTCAAACATTGTAGACACTTATAAATGTATTATATTAGCCAACAATATTTTAACTGACCATTTTTTTTGCAAAAAGAACAATGTGAAACAAAAATGAGAAGTAAACAACTTCCTGGTAGTCAAATGAAATATCCTAACACAAATTCTATACTTTATAATGCTGATTCTACAAAGATGTTTCAAAGAATGGATGTTTACAACAAATCATGATGTCCATACTATAGTTGAAAAAACGAAGTAGAATTTCTCATCGACAGCCGCAGCTGAAATTGATGTTGGTGTCCTTGACATGGTCGTAGCGACAACCTACACAATCTGTGTGATACCATTCGTCACAATCGTCACAACATACCTACAGAAAACAGAGGAGTCAACCTTTAGTAAAGTTTTTCGTTCATGTATTTCAATAAAAATTGAAGAGCCATCCGTTTGTGAAAATAAAATGAACACCAAACCAATGTCTTAGGATGGTTGGCTGACAACTGACGAAAACAGAAAGCAATGTCTCATCTAAGTGACTTTGGTCACTTAATTAGGCAATGAATTTAAATTTTAATGATTTGTAAGGACATGATCTATGAAGTTTTATACACAAGCATATTTAATGAAACATGTTGTGGTTCATGTACCTCGTGAATTTTCAAAAATTAAATTCATTTCTCATATTCACATTATTTTTCTGATTAGCTGCCAGAAATTAAGCCATTCAACTGTCATTTTTAAAGCAAAACAGTTTGCAATGTGGTTCTGATGTCAATTACGATATTATGAAGTAACAATGGAGATATTCATTCTCATCCATAGCAGTTCAGTAGAAAATGAACAGTCTTTGCAAAGAATCTTCAGGAAAAATATTTGGAAATGTAAATATTTAAAAATCCCAAGCACAAATTCAATATTCTTGAAAATTCTATAGATAGATTCTAGAGGTACTGTGAGCACAAGCTCAAAACCATAGGAAAAATACATAATAATAATGGTGGGAAATGTTTGAATATTGAAATAAATTTTTAGTCATATTAAATCAAGGTACAATAAAGTTAAGTATAATGGACTGAATACTTACCCAGCCTACTCGTTTTCCCTTGGGTCTTTTACAATCAGCAGAGGCACACTTGTCTTCCTCAAACCACTCAACGCCTTCCTCTAGAGACTCCTCTACTTCAAACTCATCGTCAAAATCATCGTCGTCATCATCAGAGTCCTTCTTCTTCTTTTTGGGAGGTCGGCCTCTTCTACCAGGTTTACCTGCGAAAAAGATTAAAAGAGATTTATCACCCTGCATGAGGAGAGATGAGGTTTAATTAGACTGCAACAACAATATGCAAATATTGGCTGAGGTTGAGGGCAACATTGATCATACAAGACCTAAAGGGACGAAAATATTGCCCAATGCCTGGTGGAGGGCAATATTTTTGTCCCAAAGGGGGCAAAAAATCAATACTACAAAACACAATCAATAACTGCTATATTATATGAAAACAAAAAAAAATAGTTAAACAAGAGTTGTTTGTAAAACACTTATGCCCCCCTCCCCCCTAAAGTGGAATTTTTCCAAGTCCAAAACGGCATAACTCTGTCAAAAATGGCGTGACTGTATCTAAAACAGAACTTGACCTAAACATTTATCTGATAAATCTCTATACTAAATTTCATTTCAATATGTGCAGCCTCTGCGAAGAAAATGAACGGAAACTGCAAATAATTGGAATTTTTTCTAAGTCCAAGGGGCATAACTCTGTCAAAAATGGTGCGATCGTACCCAAAACAGAACTTGACTTAGATATATTCATTTGATAAATCTGAAGGCTAAATTTCATTTCAGTATGTGCAATGGTTGCGAAGAAAATGAACGGAAACTGCAAATAATTGGAATTTTTTCTAAGTCCAAGGGGCATAACTCTGTCAAAAATGGTGCGATCTTACCCAAAACAGAACTTCACCTAGATATTTATCTGATAAATCTGAAATTTCATTTCAGTATGTGCAACGGTTGCGAAGAAAATGAACAGAAACTGCAAATAATTGGAATTTTTCTAAGTCTTAGGTGCATAACTCTGTCAAAAATGGCGTGATTGTACCCAAAACAAAACTTGACTTAGATATTCATATGATAAATCTTTATACCAAATTTCATTTCAGTATGTGCAACGGTTGCGAAGAAAATAAACGGAAACTAAGTGGACCGACAGACAGCAGCAAAGCAATATGCCCTCCCTTCTCAGAAGGGGGGCATAAATAGTATCATTAAATCATTTAAATCAAATAGCTTGTAATCCACAAATTTATCTGCATGCATTCTGATAGCAGTTACTGACATAGCTAATCTTGCGATAAATTGGAGGTTGAGGGGTCATGTTTTTTTGGATGTCGCAAGATTAATATTACTGTTCCATCACAATAATTCAATCAACTAATCAGAATCAAAATCAAAAAAATTTTGAGACAACTCTCTTTGCTGGTCAATATTTTAAAAATGACCATCAATGCTTTTAGAACTAAATATGTAAATGTATTGTGTTGCCTGTTTCTCTACGTAGAGAATATTCTTCACTGAATATATACATGTATATAGAATCATATGTTATGAAAGTCTTTTTGGGAAAATCAATTGACTTAATCACGTTAATGGTGTGTGACATACTTTTAGCGGGTGCTTGCTTTCGTTTCTTGGCAGTTTCTTTGACAGATCCTCGACTATTGCTTCTCTGAACTTTGGCTGGTTTTGCTACTTTCTTTTCTACCGATGTCTTCTTCTTGCTGAGAGTTTTCACTGAAAATTGATAATTAATGGAATCAGATTTGACTTTTCTTTGTCATATTGCACAAATTTAACAATAATCAGGACCTTTAGAAATTAATTCAAGCATACACTGATATTAAAGAAAGGGCCAAAAATAATATCTCTTAATCTGTGATTTTATTTCTACAAAACTAATTTATGGTCATCATTCATTTCTAATCTCACTTTCCCATTACATGTACTAGATACAATGTCAATGACCTTCTAAATGAACTTGTTGTACCTGATAAATATCAGTCTTAAATGGTTCTTTCATCAGAAAGTCTCACAGGTAACTTTTAAAAGGAACATAAATCTGCTATTATTGATTTCCTGCTTTCTATACCCTAGCCTGCTTCTTCATTAAAATATAATCAATAGTCTCCACACAAAACAGATGTTGATCTGTGTTATTTCAGTGATCTACATTTTTTACACCTGGTGTTGCATAAGAATAATAGCAATCAAGTCTAAGGTTGCAGATTAAACTTTCTACATAATTGCACTTCAAATAGTTTCGGAAACAAAATCTATTTCCATAATCAATAAATAATCGGTGGTGCATTTCAAGAAAATTGATTTTCTTGTAGATGACTTTTTCTTAAAACCTCCCTTTGTCCAACGGGAAAGAGAGCTAAAACGTTTGTTAGGATTTTGAAAAAAAATAATTGATCATGTTGATACCTTTCTGTGCTCATTTATGTCTTATGTTTCAAACATCTTTTTTTGTAATTGCTTTATTGCAAAATAAGTTTGTATTAAAAAAACATGAAAATACTAAAGAAGCATGCAGAATTATAGCAATTTGTCAGACTGCATTTTCAAACTGAAGAGTTATTAATGAAAATCAGACGTGTTAGTATCCAACATGCATTTTTCATTGGTTTTCTTGAACAACAAATCATAAAACAAATTAATCTAGTGGAATTCAAAAACAAATGCTTTTTAAAAAGTCCTAATTTCTTTCAGAATTGGGAGTCAATAAAAGTCCTATTTTATTCATAAACATTTGGGTTAAAGTCTCCATGGTTTCATATTTCCAGGAATGGTATACAAAAAACAAGTGACAAGAAATAACTTTCTAAACTGAACAATGGTGCACCAAAATGTAAACATTATTTTCCTGAGCCCCAACTCCTGCAGATTTATAACAAGAACTAAGAATATGTACCTTCTGTCTCTAAGACTTGTATAGCATGTGAAATCTGATTGGCAATATCCTCTGTATATTACATAAATACATTTACATTACAAGGTTGTAAAACTTTTTTGGTAACACAAATGAAACAGTTTATATATGATACATATATTATCAGAAATCTTGCTTAAAGTAATGCTGATATCTGATTCTTTTTATTTATAAATCAGTGTTTGTACACATAAATGACAGAAAGAAAGAGTCTAGTTTATGTACAATAAGGCATCTTTATTCTAGTAAGATCAGTGTTGAATCTATTAATATAGGCTATCTAGGTAATGTGAACTGACTGCAGTCTGTGTTTCCTAGAAAAATGATATAATATTAATAAGCTACTTCCTCTTATTTTAAAAGCTACCTACTGAGTTGCCGAGGATATGAGATTCAATTGTAAGCTACCCTACAATGAGTGTAGCCAGTGTACGCTACTCCCTACCAATGAGTGTAGCCAGTGTACGCTACTCCCTACCAATGAGTGTAGGATAAGGATTCATGTAAGTTACTCCCTCCCCATATGTCAACAGGGGGTTGAAAGGAAAATAAGTGACCAGGAGCAAATGTCGTTGTAAGTGGGGAATTTCCCTGGCCCCTGGGTCTTAGGGACAATGATGTATATATGTAAGCTACTCACTATCAATGTGTCTAGGATATGTAAGCCACACATAAAGTCGAAGAATAAGCTACTCACTGTCAAGAGTTTTCTAGGATACAGATATCTAAGCTACTTATTGCAGTCTACGCGAAAGTTTAAATTTTTTACAGGACAAAATGTCTGGTAAAAATTAAAATTTTACCAGACCAAGCAATTTCTTACCAGAGTGGGATCGGGTTAATTCTCACTGTGAAATTTAACCTTAAATAAATTCAGAGAGAAATGGACAAGTTAACTTAACTATTTATAATTTTCCTTTGTAAAAGGTATCTATTTATAAAATTGCATGCATTTTTTTCTTCATATTTGACTTATACAACATACACTGTGTCAAAGATTTTCTTATACATTTATTTAATATTACTTTCAATGCATATTTATTTTTCCTGAAACAACTCATTATGGTTACTCAAGTTCAATGATCATTTGAAAATAATTTCCCAACCATATCTATGTATGAGCTTTCTAAATATTTTCCCAACCAAATCTACGAATGAGCTATTTAAAGATCTCTAACCCTGCACAGAGGAAATTCGAGTTAGAATAAAAGCGATCATGACAGGCTTGTAATACATAAAAATTAATCAGGTATTACTGCTAAATTGATCAAATAAAGGATATTTGTGGGAAATTGGACCATGTGTACCTCTTAATTTAGATTTATTTGGCCTTATTTTTTATCGGACATTTGGTCCTGTATACTGAAAGTTTTTACCGGCCCGAACTAAATTTTACCAGAAAAACCGACGGTCCGGTGACTTTCGCATAGACTGTTATCTAGGACAGGATTCATGTAAAGTTTTGTAAGCTACTTACTGTCAGTGTTTTCTAGGATTTTTATGTAAGCTACTCACTGTCAGTGTTTTCTAAGGTACGGATATTCAAGCTACTCATTGTCAGTGTTTTCTAGGATGTGGATCAGTGTTTCCGTTAACGCATATTTCTGCGTATTTTACGCATAAAAATTACTTTTGACCCCCAAAAACGTCACCTAGAGGGTCATCATGACGCAGAAAAATATAAAAACAAGTTTTAAAAATCCAGTTCAATATTGATTTTTTCATAGAAAAAGATATTTTATATGTTTAATTTACATTCTGGACAACTTTCTAGGAATTAATCATTGCTTTTAGTTTAATTTCAAAGTGGCAGTGATTGAAATCGGCATTTCCACGTCAACAATCTATGAAATATTCTTCTGTACGACTTATCTTATTCTTAACAAAACCGGAAGTGTAGATAAAAATGGCGCTTCAGCATTTTCAGCATGTTCAGTCTTACATCGGCATATTTTTATCAGCTTGGCTTTGTCTAAAAGGCTAATTATGGTAATAAAAAGGTGAGGAAAGTTCAAATCATTAATAAACAGTTTTGTAAAGCAGTCAACCACTTTAAGTTGTTATCTTTTGATTGAGGTATTCACGAAACCCTTACGGTGTAATCGGTAAAAATGTAACTGTGTACCGGTAAAATAAAAGAAGGATACATGTATCAATTATATTTTACTTTTATTTGTTTTTAATTTTAAACATCAATAATATGATCTTAGAAGGCAGAGCTAATGTTAGAACAGAAAGCAAAACCAGAATTCATTTGACCCTCAAAAAATCTTTTTGACCCCCAAAAGTTTATATCAAAGGGTCATAATGACCCTTGGTTTTAAAAATTAGCAGAAACACTGTGGATATCTAAGTTAATTACTGTCAGTGTTTTCTAGGATACGGATATCTAAGCTACTTACTGTCAGTGTTTTCTAGGATTTTTATGCAAGCTACTCACTGTCAATGTTTTCTAGGATATGGATATCTAAGCAACTTACTGTCAGTGTTTTCTAGGATACGGATATCTAAGCTACTTACTGTCAGTGTTTTCTAGGATACGGATATCTAAGCTACTCACTGTCAGCTACTACTCACTGTCAGTGTTTTCTAGGATATGGATATCTAAGCTACTTACTGTCAGTGTTTTCTAGGATATGGATATCTAAGCTACTCACTGTCAGTGTTTTCTAGGATTTTTATGCAAGCTACTCACTGTCAGTGTTTTCTAGGATATGGATATCTAAGCTACTCACTGTCAGTGTTTTCTAGGATATGGATATCTAAGCTACTCACTGTCAGTGTTTTCTAGGATACAGATATCTAAGCTACTCACTGTCAGTGTTTTCTAGGATATGGATATCTAAGCTACTCACTGTCAGTGTTTTCTAGGATACGGATATCTAAGCTACTCACTGTCAGTGTTTTCTAGGATACGGATATCTAAGCTACTTACTGTCAGTGTTTTCTAGGATACGGATATCTAAGCTACTTACTGTCAGTGTTTTCTTCACTAGAGAAGATGTTATATTTATCTTGACTGCTGTCTTCATCTGGAGATGGTAGATCATTGGAATCAGATGAGCTGCTGCTGCAAAATTTATGGCCAAAGTCAATGCAAAGTTCTTCAATGAACTTCATTCACTTTCCTGTTTAAGGATCAGGAAGAATAACATTTATATTATCAAAGAAATAAAGAACATTAACAAACATGATACAGTAAGCATTAGTTTACACAAATTAAAATATGCAAAGACATTTTATGAAACTCATTCTGTTGATATTAAATGCTTGCAAAATATACTGAATTCATAATCAACTAAAACATGCTTCCAGCTTAACAGCTACCTGCTTCTGGGCCTTTGTTTATCATGAATTAACTTTCGACTATGTTTGCTCGGGATTTCCACTTGTGTCCTTGAGGGGGGCGTGTCCCTCTCTCTCATGGAATTGCTATTTCGTCGGCCATTGTTTTTCACAGTAGACTCCACATTGATGTTTATATTTACATTCACTCGGCTTGTCTTTGTTTTACTTTTATCCATCCTGGCTAGATCACTGAAGGGTATTAATCCGTTTTCCCCTGACAATCTGTCAGTGGACTTTCTCACTTTGCTGGGGCTCTGCTTTTTGTCCTGATAACCAGTGTTTTTCCGTACTGGCTTAGGAGAGGGACTAGAATCCATACTTTCATCACTGTAGTCCATTCTGCTTAGCACAGAACGTGACTTCTTGTTGACAGTACTCACATTAGGTTTATAATTGTAATCATCATCATCGTCATCGTCACTCTCATCGCTGCTCGAGGGCGATGATTTCAGATCAAAAGCAGAGATCCTGTTAACATTTGGGGACCCCATATAGCCCACTGTTGAGTCTTTTGAGAGACCAAATTTTTGGTCAGTCTTGCTGGGTGATTTCTTGATGCTTGTGATGGTGTTAGCACTACTAGAGGCGTTCATTGGCGAGTTTCCATTGATGGCTGCTTCGTCACCCGTCCTAAACCCTCGTTCTTCTTCTTTTTGCACTAGTTTTTCAAACTAAAAAAAATGCTTTGTTTAAACAATCAAATTTTCATTAAATTCTTATTCAACATGAGTACTGATGAAAATGGCACATTCTGTACTTACAAAAGATTATTAATTCTTTGTGATATTCATATTCAGTAACAATAAACTCACTATAAATTGAAACTCTGAGTTTGGTTGCTTGGCATAATCCCCGGCTTTCAGTTTATAACCATTTGTGTGTCCAAATGTGACTTTGTCTCCCTCTTTCAAAATGTAGGGTCCACTCATCTACAAAAACCAAGAGAGGAAGTTAAAACCTTCAAACAATGAAACAACTGTTATTGTTTTCTGAATATCAAAAATGAATCAAATGTTAAAGCTAGAAAAAGTTAAATGAATTGCTATACAATGTAGTTCCTTTCTGCTAAATCAAACATGTCTAAGGGTGTTAAGTTTTGCAAAATGTTTTGATTATTTATATATATTCACATAAATTATTAAAAAGGTATATTTATAAGTTAAACTAAACAACTGACAACTCTTATCAATAATTGATATTCTTCCTTTCCCTGTTAATTTATGCTTAGTCAGGTTGTTTGTATTCTTTGTAAATCATCATATAATGCATGTATGTTCATTACTGTAAATATTCAATGAAACTTTTAAATATACTAAACATACACAGTGTTTTTGCAACATTTTGAAATATTTTCACACATTCAAAAGAAAATATATATAACATACATCATGCACTTAGATATGAATTCAGCAGCATTCAGGACTCATTCCAATATTTATAAAATGGATCACTTCATAAATGTACTACATGTAGTAAATTGTATATGTATTATATAAAAGCAATAATAGATCCTAATATATAGGACTTTGGTACCTTTGTGTCATTGATAAAGGTGCCATTAAGGCCCTTATCAATAATCCTAAACTGCATATCTCCATTTTCATTTGGAATTGCATGGATTTCAGCATGGATTCGAGAAATGAAGTTCTTCAGTTTGGTAGAGTCTAAATAGTAGTCATTGCTTGTTGCTCGTCCAAACTTGGTGACTCCACATTTTAATCTATAAAAAAAATAATAATTTCCTAATTCTACAACAGATGTGTTATCAACTATTACGAGAAGTAAAATTAGTACCTCTACAATAAATTTCTGTATGTAGACCTACATTTTATTAAACTTCTCAATTTCCAATCAAAAGAAAAGTAAAATCTGATGTCACAGTTCCTATGGTATCAAAATTGCTTCATTAATTTGCTAAGCTGACCCTAGAACCCTCCCCACTCATTACTGTATTCAGTACCTTTACATCACAGTGATCACACTCATATTTGTATTTGTAGTGTATTTGATACATGTATCTACCCACTAGACTATTCCATAGTCAAGCACTCCTGATTATTTTTCAAACTATAACCCTGATTCGTGAACATCACAGTCACATTTTAATGCAATTTAGTACTTATTTCCCACATGATATTAGTATTCCTATCATCAAATTCTTTTATCCAATAAATATTATGTAATGTAAAGGGAAGTATTATAATAATGTCAAGAAGAAGATAAACATGTGTTAAAGTAACACGCAGTAGGAAATATTACTCTAGTAATCATGAAAAAAAAATCTTTAAAGATTTCAGCAAGTGCTTGTTTTGAAATAATCTTTTGCTACTACTACTGTATCAGTAGCGTAGGGAATTCAATGAAAAATGCATATTTTGTAACTTCAGTGACAGAATTTTATGTCCCCGATTTCAATCTATACTTTCATGAGGAAGTTAATTAAATAAGAGTAAAGACATGTCTACTTCACATCAAAATGCACATTAAAATCAAAGTACAGAAATGTAAACACTCAATCTCTCCAGTTTTAGTGAAAGTGTTTTCCATAAAACGCACTTTAATGTGTGCTGCAAATTTAATGGATGCTACATATTTTGAAAATCATGCAGTTTGTAACAAATCAGTAAATTCTTCAACGATATGAACGCATTTTACAGATTTTAACCATATTCATTATCCCTATCTATGATGGAAACTGCGAAGTGGCGAAATTAATTACTGCAATCATGGCGTGTTGATTCATTGTTGATCTGTCATCCTTGTTTGCTTTTTAAAAGTTTTTTCCTAAACTGAAAGTAAGGTGATTATACTTACTTCATATTGTTACCGATACTCATGCATGTTGCGGAGGGTCCTATCCTCCGTAAGTGATAGGAGGTCGTCTCCCCGGTGCCCATTTGGCATCAACAAATGTTTCAACTACACCATAAATAATTTCACACGCTATTTTCAGGAACAAGATAACCTTGACCTTCGGTCACTGATTGGTGTTTCCCGCTATTTTATCAAATATACATCTTATTTGCCCAAATAAGTGCAATAGGTGAAAGAGAAATATACTGTTAAAACCAACTTAAACGAAAGGAATTCAAAGATGCATGTGCTTTCTTAATTTTAGTATTTTTTACCGGACACAAATTATCATAAAATATTTTTAATTAAGCAATAGAACCAAGTCAGAAAACAACCTTTCAAAATCCGGAAAAGAAACCCATCCTCTTAAATTTTCAGAAAAATCCTATCATTAAACAAAATGTTTTATTTCTAACAATGTGTTTGCAAGTTATTATTATTAGCACATGATCTGTTACAGGCAGCATTACAGAACTGCAAAATATTTTTCAAAAATTTGCTTTGCGGAAATAGGAATTCCGTACAGTTCTTTCAACTCTTCATTATAAAACTGATTTTGTATTTCCTGCAAAATGCAAATGAGTAGTTATTAATTGTAAAGTAAACATACATGCTTTATTAATACAAACGAAGAATTAAAAGAAATTTAAACTCTATATTAAAAAAACTTATCAAAAAAATTATCTATAATAAGGAAATTATTTAAATGAATTAGATCAACGACATAATTATTAATAAATTCGTTCATGAGAAAACAAAAATGTAACTTCTCCCTGAGGAATGGATGACAGGGAAACAAACAAAACTACAGCTTCTGAAAAAGTGGCAATTAACAGCATGACAGGTTATCTACCATCCCACAATGGCGTGAGAATAGATCATAATAAATGCAGATATCCTCACTGCATTGTTTGGACACCTATTCCTTGTTTGACGTAGGCACATTTTGATTTCTATTACAGTGTCAGTAATAACAGGGACCAACATAAGGTCCCTGGTAATAAGAAATTACCCAGATTACCTAAGTGACTGTTGTAACCCATTGATGCCTTGAAATTGCTTTATTAATTATCTCAGGGACCTATATACTAACAGTATATAGGTCCCTGATTATCTCTTTTAAATAATTAAAAAAGACACTTTCACTGTTTTATACCGTTAATTCTCGCTCTTTTATCTTATTTTGTTTATCTAATCTTCTCACAAAAACAAATCCAGTTAAAAATTGACACATTGTTGATTGATTTGCTATTATTGTGTCACCTAAACAATGTGTGCCATCAGAATCTCTGTATGGTCTTAATTTTTTTTTAAAACTAATTGAGAGAGAATATATATGTTTTAGCTTAATTGAAAACAGCATTTCTATCCATTGAATATTCTTTTCAAAATTTCAGGTGGCTGTTTCCATTTATCGGGCATATGGGTATTGCTACATCAACAGGGGTCATTAGGGATTTTGCTGGACCATACTTTGTTTCGGTAATATATACATCATATAAATCCTTATTGATTAAATTCTGAAGCCTCAGTATTCCCTCATTTATTGTTTCTTTCCACATTGAATTGATTTTAGAATAATATGCTCATTATTACTAATGCTTGAATTGTTAATTTTATTAAAACCTCCACTGATAAAATCATTTTGATTTATTAGGAAGATGATATGGCTTTTGGAAGACCAACTAAGTGAGTACATGTTTTATATTTTAATTGTTAGCAACAACAGTAAAACTTGTCTAATTTGGATTTTGTGTATTCCCAAATACAATGCTGAATTTTTAATATAATCCCACCATTTTAAATGGGACCAGTGGTGTCTAGGCAAGTTTTGTTGTATAATATTGTTGATAGTTCCTTGAAACTGAAGATTCATACAACCAATATCCCTGTATTTGGAAGTTTAAGCACATAATCAAGAGTTGTATTATAAATTCTGTTGATGAGGATTCAACATAAATTTTTTGGTGGATTCAAGTAGGTTACATTGTTAAAGCCAGGGTCATTTAATATTCATGTTTCAAATTTGATTTTTCATACTGTACAGTTACAGTACCTGTAAACAATTGACCATTCTTTTTGTTGTTTTCTTTAAATCAACTAAGGGTTTTGTGTCAAGATTTGCAAAGGGTTTTAATTTGGGTTCTAGATAGTAGATACTGTGAAATCACTAATTTTTGTGGAGGTTTAATTTTCATTTGTTTAGAGGTACGAGGAGACCCACAAATTTATTACCACCATGAAATGCAATATTTGATATGCATTACTACTAAACATTTTCCAAGTACGAAATCAAATCCCCACAAACCAATATTTTTTCCTCAAACCTCGAAAATTTGACCCCACGATAATATATGTGATTTTGCAGTAATTTATTTTCTTATAAGGGTAGGAATGTATCAGGAAATGGGTAAACAATGCATGCAGAAGAGATATAGAAGTCATATTCAGCTTCTGAATTTATTTAGAGTAAAGTTCTCATTGTTAAAAATTTATTAAAGTATGAAACAAACCCTTTTGTTAAGAATATGATTATGACCTTTCAGTGTTTTCCCTAATAACCAGCTACCAGCAAAATTGACCACTTCAATTGACAAAAATGCCACTTTGAAATGAAAATTTATGGTAAAGTCCACAGAGATTCTGTTCATAAACCTCTGCCCCTAGCCTGTTAAAACTGATCTCTAACCTATTACTTTGAAATATAGGGAAAACACTGACCTTTAACTTAGCATGCTTCAAGTATTTCTCAGAGATTTGCAAATGTTTAGACATGAAATTGTACTTTTAAGGTACCGGGTATAGTGGGTCCTTGCTCCATGTTTTTGATAACCCAAAAATGTTTATTTCCATAAACTTTCCCCAAAAATGGAGCAAAGACTCACAAATATAGAAATATTATAAAATTTGTGAGAAAATGGTCTTTTGCCTCTTTTATGTCTTTGGTGTGTATTCTATTTCACAGGCAAAGAATTTCAATGTTAATGAGGGTTTTGCAAAAAAGTTTTGTAAAATAAGAGTGACTTAAAAATAGTTTATGAAGAATGTAGTAGACCAAGATAAAAAAAAAAATTGTAATCAATTGCAAAAGTATCAGATCTCATGCATTTATAAAATGAAAACAAATGGCACTGTTCTGTCATATCTGTAGAATTTGGTGTACTATATCCTGAAATAATTTTTAGTGATATGATGTAAATGCAGTCATTAATTCGCTTACTTTCAGAGGTCAAATGGCAAAAATTTACAACCACGAAAAATACTTATTACACAACATGAAAGCCGAAGATTAACTGTTTGAAAGTTAGGTCCAAGATTAAAGTTTTTCAAAAGTATGTCAAACTCCAAGGTCAAGGTAAAAAGATCAAAAATATTTGTAACCCCCCCCCCCCCCCAAAAAAAAAAATTGTTCACAAAGATTATACATTTAAACTATGAATGCCTGAGAACCAACCATTCCAAAGTCATGGCCAAGGTTAAAGTTGGGTAAAATTTTGCAAAAGTGGGTCAAACTGCAAGGTCAAGGTCAAGAGATCAAATAATTCTATACCCAAAGAAAGATCTATCCTGTGAAATATGAGAGCCATAGAGCTCCAATCAGTCAAAAGTTATGGGCAAGGTTAAAGTTTTTGCAGACAAAGAGTCAAACAAGCAGATAAACAGACAGATGGACTGACAGGACAAATGTATACATACTTATGACCTGAATCTTTGATTATGGAATGTATAATACATGTACAATTTTATAAATGATGCTGTTAAAATACAAATTACATGAGTATCGGTAGAAATTGCAGTGCTATTCAGCCTATTGTAAATACAAATTACATGAGTGTTGGTGGAAATTGCAGTGCTATTGTAAATATTCTTTTTCCACTGGAAGTTTACATAATATACATGTACCGGTATGTACTTGTATTTGTATCCAGTGTATGTATCTCAAATTGAGAAAATATATGCATGTATAACACATCACAGCCAACTAGCAACAAACATGTAGTTAGAGTTGTCCCCCTTTATGCAAGACTCTTCTTTCATTTTTCACTAGATACTGGCAGCTGGATCTGAACAATGTTCCTAAAGGCAAGGAAAAGTGGGACAAGTCAGTGGCAGAGGCTTCGGAGGAATACAAACATAGAATGGTAATACATTTACACTGTGAAACAGTTGAAGACGATAAACTCGTTTTACCAGGAATTATTACTCGATGTATTTCTTTTTCGGCATCGAAATCTTAACTGCTCATAAAATACTGTCTAATATATAATCAAACTGCAGTGGGGAGTCAATGACCTTTTTTTTATGATAATCCTAGAATATTTTAGGTTAATCTGTGGAAGTGTTGCCAACTTTGAGGCATTATTGAATCTCCTGCAGTTGTAGATTATGTTGTGAGCTGCAAGTAAATCAAATTCGAAAAGTTAGAATAACTCTTTGAAAACTGAGTAATAATTAATCTGGCAGAAAATGGACAATGAAATAAAATTACAGATTTTAATTTGATAAAATACTCTGAAAAGCAGACTTCAACATTGAAATACATATGAAAATGGTAAGAATTTTAATACACTATACTAATTGTAATTGTATGCACAAGCTTAAGCAAATATCTGAGTTACTTTGTTGACCCTGAAGCAATTTCTGAGAAAAAATGCTGTATTTGCATTTTTGAAAAATTTTAGTGTGAATCAATTGAGGTAAAGATATTTTTGTGTAAGGATAGACTGTTTACTTAAATATCAATTTTAGACTACATATGATCTCCTGTATTGATAGAGGATTCCTGCCCTACCCATTCATGATCTATCTAATGAACAATTCACATTTCTGCAGTTAGAATGTACAGTTTGATTTTTATCAGTAATTTACAATTTTTTTCGAACTGCTAGGGAGGGAAATATAAAAACCATTAACTGCTATTTTAATTAAACACTGGGAAATAAAATTGATGATCAACCCTCTGATTGCAGCATTAAGCCAGCAGGAAGCAGTACAAACTCTAACAGGAGTAGAAAATCAGATAATTGTTTTAATTCTTGCAGCTCATGAAATGGCCTTAATTTTTGATTTAATAAACAGATTTATCTATATCAGTTAATGTTTAAACATTTTCCAAGGTGTACAAGGAACAGGTGCCTATGCACTTTTAATTCGAGAGATTTGAACCCCCTGGTGTGAGAAACATTATGTAATATCATTTCAAAACCCCATATTCTGCTCAAGCTGCTAACACTCTTGGAGGCTACACACTAGAAATATTTTGATTTGTGAAGATAAATGTTTATCATTGAAAGTTTATGTTAGTTTAATGAGAAGTAAGTTATGCAAGGATTTTTTGCTGTTCATGATATTATTTTATTAGAACTTAATGATCTGATAACCTCCTCACTGTCTGCAAAATACTCAACATTATATGTTTCGGTGTTTTTTCATAAAATTAAAACATTATAGATTACATTTCAAAAATACCATCCCTTTTCAAATTTGCATTTATGGAAATGTTGAATGTATCCTTATGGCTGTATAACAACTGTATAATAACAGCTGTTTAAGAAGTGTCAGTTAAAGGTCAACTATTTCATGACTCTTCCATCAATGCAACACATGGACTGGCAGTAGATATGTACAATATTTTCTGAACTTTCACCCACTTTAAACAAACAATTCATACATACATAGTGCTCGTGTGGCATAGTGGTTAATGTTCACTCGAGAGTCTCTGCATAAGGAATAGAGATTCTAAAGTTGCAGGTTCAAATCCCACTGCAGGTTGTGGAGTCATGGTGGAGACTGGTCCTTCAGATGATACCGTATAATCTGAGACCCGTTTTTACATTAGGTGCTAGCACAAAAAAGATCCCTCAATGCTCAAAGCCCCTAAGTGCTGAGTACAGGTCTTAATTTGCAGCCCCCATTCATTTGCCACAAAGAGACTCTTGTAAGCATTGGTGACTTACTGGTCTATGGACCACTTGTTTAAAGAGCTGCTTCATTGATTTTTCAAATTAATCAACTTGAAAGTCTTATTCAGATAAGATATTTGTGATTTAGATTTTTTAATATTCATGTATATTGTATATTCCATAAAAACTATTTACACAACAAGAAAGTACTCGAGTATGTCTTTTTCTATCAAAAGTCATTCAGTCAAGGTCACAAGGATTGGTGTTAATTAATTAACTAATAAAATTTCAAGGGTCTGTAATGCACAGACAAAAAAAGACACATAAATCTACATAGGGTATAAAGAGCAAAGATTATTTACAAAGAAAAAGCAAAAAGTGAAGTCCAAAAAGCATATACTTTCAACATGTTCAATGCGCATATAGTTTATTTACATGTAGTTACTTTGCATTAGTAATATTCCATTTTTATTTCAGCATAATTTGTGTTGTGATAATTGCCATTCTCATGTTGCCATGGCATTGAACTTAATGAACTATAATAACAAGTCTAGCTACAACATGGTGGTTCTATGTTTGCTGATGCTCATCCATGGGAAATATGTCAGGTAATGTCTTATGTAGCTGGCATATATCCTGCTATTCCAATCCCTGAAAATTAATGTAATTATTTTACTGTGATGCATTTTGAAGTGAAGCAGCATGACTATAGAGATCCTTGACTTCATTTTTTATTGTTTTAAGGAAAACCCACTCTTGTACTTTATGAAGATATTGAAATTAGGGTTTTATTCACTTAAATTAGGGCTAGGTATTCATGATACTCAGTTTTTAGCTCACCTGAACCATACTTTAAAGTGAGTTTTCTGATCACCTGTCATCCATCGTCTGTCTGTCCATTTATTGATTTTAATTTTTGGCCTCTTCTCCAGACCCACTGAAGCAATTTCAACCAATTATCATAAAGTAGTTTTGGAGATAGGGATTAGAGGCTGTTTTTTTAAACAAGATGTGTTTGTGAAACACTGATGCCCCTGTACGGCCACATAGCAAAGATTAAACTTTTGTTAAATGCAAATTTAATATATTGGTACCAAAAGTAGGGTATTCTCACTGGAAATACAATTGTGAAATATGAAAGTAGGCCAAGGTTAAAGTTTTTTCCAAAAGTACGGAAATCCTCAAGGTCAAGGTCATTGGTATCCAATGAAAGGTCTTGCCACAAAAAATACATATGTAAAGTATGGAAGCCCTAGCCCACACCGTTAAGAAGTTATGGCCAAGGATAAAAATTTTAAAAGTAGGTCAAACTCCAAGGTCAAGGTCAAATGTATTACTATCAAATGAAAGGTCTTGTCACAAGGATAAAATATGTAAACTTAAGTAGGAAAGCACTAGCCCTTACCCTTTAAAAGTAATGGTCAAGGTTTGCTTTTTAAAAGTAGGTCAAACTCCAAGGTCAAAGGTCTTGATATCAAATGAAAGGTCTTGTCACAAGGATTAAATATGTGAAGTATGAAAGCCCTAGCCCTAACCCTTTAAAAAATTATAGTCAAGGTTGTATTTTGAAGGTAGGTCAAATGCCAAGGTCAAGGTCAAAGGGTCAAAGATCTTGAAATTCAATGAAAGATCTTCTTACAGGGTTTACATATATGAAGTATAAAAGCCTTAGCCCTTACCATTCAAAAGTTATGGTCAAGGTTAAAGTTTTTTCACAAGTATTGAAATCTCAAGGTCAATGTCAAGGTTATTGGTATCCAATGAAAGATCTTCTCACGAAAAATACATATGTCAAGTATAAATGTCCTGGTATCTACTTTTCAAAAGATATGGCCAAAGTAAAAGTTCAAAATTTTTGTGTAAAAGTGGGTCAAACTCCAAGGTCAAGGTCAAAGGGTCAAATTTGGTGGTACCCAAAGAAAGGTCTTGTCACAAGAAATACACATGTGAAAGATGATTGTCATAGCTCGACTAAATCAAAAGTTATGGGCAAGGTTAAAGTTTTTGGGGACAAACAGACAGACAGCTAGACAGACAGACGGACGGACACGACAAACACTATATACCCCCAAAACTTCGTTTACGGGGGCATAATATTCTTGTCCTATTTAACGGAGAGATAAATTTTAAAAAAAAAGGTGGTGGCTGAAAAAATCTTCTTCTCAAGAACCACTTGGCCAGAAATATTAAACTTGTTTGAAATGTTTCTGATTTGATTTGTTTGAGTCATCTCTCAGGCAAAGGATGAATCTAGATCTACACTGTGGATCAAAGTTAAGGAAAGCAATCTTTAATTATTTTTCCATCAAAAACACCAGAGTCATGATTAATAGTCATATTAATGTGGCTTCTTAAGTTAATGTAGATTCAAATTTGTTAAAATCATGACTTTCAGAGGTAGGGTGGGGTTTTATTGTGCAATCTTAGTTTTAGACAGGAATATATTTGAAAATATCTATAAAAATCATCTGAAGAGCAGGAAATCTTTGGTTAGTCATATTTTAATGGAAGCATCCTCAGTTAATCTCTGTTGAGATTCTGCTGGGCTAGATATTTGGACTTGACGCCAGACTGCTGGTCCAAATACTGTAAATCACTTTTTATTTGCGAGAACTTTATTTTCGCGTAATTACTAGACAGTGTGCTTGTGAAAATTTAATTCTTGCATATAATTGCATTCCTTAAGATTATATAGAGCAATAACTGCAATTCGTGAAAATTTTGTCTCGCTAATCAAGAGTCAATGACTATCTCGTGAAAATAAGGTGTCACGAAAATTTAGTGATCTACAGTATCTAGCCCAGCAGAATCTCAACAGAGATTAATTCTCAGTTTAATAGTGTAGATTTAGAATTTTTCAATTCTTGGCTCCTAGGGCCAAAGTTATCATTCAAACTTTCACAGAAATACATACAGAAAAAAAATGCCAGTGAAGAATAAATGAGCCAAACTTACACAGATGAGCATTGTGGCCCATAAGCTTCTTGTGAAATAATTTCTTGATTTTTGTCTTTTCCAGTGTGTGTGGATTCCTGAAAACCTGGCTTCCTTTCCTGATCATGGCCTCCATAATAACAGTTGTATGTGTGCTGACTTTACATGTGTGAAGAAGAAAGAACTTGATGATACATGTCGTTCAGATCTTTGTTACCAAAAATTATCGAGTTGGTTTCAACTTTGAAGAAATCCCTATGACTATGGTACTTTTGTGAAGTACTTCTGTTTGAGATATTTATATAGTGTCATTATTGTTTTTTGTATTATAAGACCACCAAGAAAAACACCTATACACTCAAGGAAGTATATATAATATAATCTTTCAGAATGATTTGTTTTCAGATTAGATTTTTTTTTTCAATTCAGTGCATTACAAAATTTGGTGAAGCAGAAGTACATGTTTTGTGGATGAATTTTTTAAGAATGTATGTAAAATAAGCATGATAAATGAATTATTTTTAATCATACTTTAATGATATAATTTTGTTCAATTTTTTTTTTTTTGAAATAGAAAATTAAAACCATTATTTTGAATGTCCAAATTATACTAGATATAGATCATTTTCATGATTTAATGTAGACTGCAATTTAAATATGCAATCTAAGCAAAAATATTGGTTTAGAATGATTAGTCTGTTAGTGGCTGAGAAAATACAGCTATATCGCAGCCTCTGACTGAAATATGGCTGTAAACAATATAGATACTCTATAGAACAATGAAATGTCATACATGTATTATAGGAACATGTATATGTATTGCAGTTTCCAAACTGTGGTTTCCAAATGAGGAAAAATTTAGCTCTATCTGAACTAAGAAAGTTTTTTTTTTTTTCATGCGAAGCTTAATAGTGTTTCATTCATACCTGCCAGGCTGGTAAGATATAGAGGGTTTTTGTTATATCTTCTATAAATATTTTATTGAAAAAGTGATTTACCAGTAGTTTCATACTCGCAGACAAGGAATCCACTTATAGCGAGCGCAGCGATATATTTAACGTGTAAGAACAGAGGAAATTCGGATTTCTGTACATACGTCAGCCAAATTTCTCTGTGCAACATTATTCCTGCACTACCCAATGTCCTTTGCGCGAATAAATCAAAAATAGTAAAAAAAATAAAGGAACATTGTTTCTTACCGAAATCTTAACGAAATGATTCTGCCTCACCTTATTCAAAAAAATACCCCCAAGCAACAACACTGGCCTTCACCTTGCCCTTCGGAAATGATACAAATGACGTCACCGGAAACTTACGAATTTTGACGATATGCTAATTAAGTCATGTCGGTTGCTTCCGTGAAATAGATAAATAAATAAACAATAACGTAAAGCATAAAAAGCTTTTAGTTTGTAGAAATCTTTCAAAGAAACAAAAAATAACTCTGCAATTTTTTTCGACCCAAATTGCACTAGGTCTATAGTTTCAAACAGACGCTCGGCTGTCTCCGTAAGCTCCGACGAACTCCGTGACGTCGTGTGACGTCACAGGTAGTCCAGATGTCTCGTGCAGCTTGATGTTTGAAGTGGCTGATCAATTTTTTAGAGTGTTTTTGATGGTACAACTGCGCTCGCCCCAACGGTCACACCGTAAAACATATTAAATATATTTCTTATTTTTATGAAAGTTATCTGGATATATACACTGAAATGCTGGAATCTAATTTTACTCTCAAGAAAGGAAGTTGTGGTGTGTATTTTAATTTATCTCAGTTATCCTTAGATTAAAATCTATATGTACACTATCTGTCATTACATGCAAAATGGAGCAAGATTGCATCAATTTGACTTTTATTGATCATTTTATAATTGTTGTTTTGTTGTAGCTACAAACTCATTATTTTCCGAAGAGTTTTCAATGCAAATTTTTCTCATCATTATGTAAACATGATTTTTTTTACCTATATATCATTGTTAACTTTGTATATACTTGTTATGTAGTGGTGTTATTTGTAAATACAGACAGATTTGATCAGTCTTTGTTTTCTTTGTATTTATATTAAAATGGAAAAAAAACAAGATGTGTTTGTGAAACACTATGCACCCGGCATCATCAAAGTTCGAAACAGCTATTTTTAGCATTAAAGGTCACAAGCTCATTAACCTTGGTGCCATTTGAAAGAAGTTAATTAGTGAATTTTGCATACAAATATGCAGTTTCTATCTCTCATGGTTCAAAAGTTTTGGAGAAGGTTAAAGTTTGCTGACAAACAGACAGACAAACAGTTCAAAAACAACATGGGCCCCCAATCTATCAATCCGGATGCATAAAAATGTGTTTGTGTCTGATGCCTCCATATGACAGTTCATGGCAAAGGTTAAAGTGCATATAAGTTTTGGTCAAACTTCAAGGTCAAAATGACAAAATAGATGGTATCCAAAGGAAGCTCTGAAGTAAAATTTGAAAGCTAATACTAACTGATTAAAAGTTATGCAGAAGGTTAATGTTTTTTAAAAAGTGGAACAAACTCTTTTTTTTGGGCAAATTTAAATTGACCTTGGAGTTTGACTCACATATACAAAACTTTAACCTTGGTCATATAACTATTGATTGGTTAGTGCTAGGGCTCTCATACTTTGCAAGTATACACATTGAGACAAGCTATTTCTTTGGGTAACGACACTTTACATCTCTTGACCTTAAAGTTTGATTTGCATTTTAGAAACTTTGAAAAAAGTTGCCATACATGGGCATAAGTGTTTCACAAACATATTTTGTTTTCTTATTAAGTCACCTGAGTCACTCAGGTGCTATCCATTTTCATCCATCGTCGTGCATCATGTGTCAAGTGTTAACATTTGAACATTTTCAGCTTCTTCTCTGCAACCGCTCAACCAATTTCAACCTATTTTGGCATAATGCATTTATGGGTGAAGGGGAACAAAAGTTGTGAATTTCATGGTCCCTGCTCCCCTGGGGCCTGAGGAGGGGACCAAAACCACTAAAACTAATGCAATCTTTAAAAATCTTCTTTTTTACTCCTTTACATCAAGCAGTCAAACTGTTGGCATGATTGTAATCAGCATTGAGTCCTCTACCAAAATTGTGAAATTCATAGCCCCAAGGTCAGGGGTTGTAGTGCTAGGGCAGGGCTATAAAGATTATATAGTGAAAATGCATTATTTCTTTGAAAATCTTCTCTGCACCTGGGTATTAAACAACCTAACTACATACATAGTTATGATGAGGAAAGTTGCCTCTTCCAAAATTGTGAATTTCATGGCCCAGGGTCAGAAGTTCTGGTGTTAGGGTGGGCCTCTTTTGATTAAATAGTGAAAATGCATCAATTCTTTGAAAATCTTCTTACCTTACATAGTTATGATGAGCAAGGGCCATTCTTCCAGAATTGTTAATTTCAAGGCCCCTGGAACAAGGGTACGATAGAGGACGGGGGGTTGCTCTAATTATATACTGAAAATGAATTAATGCTTTGAAATCTGCTCCTTGATATTAAGCAAACATTTATGGTGAACAAAGATGCCTTTTCCAAAATTGTGAAATGTGTGGACCTAGGGTCAGGGGTTCCAGGGATGATCACCAATATTAAGGAAAAGGATAAGTTGTAAATTTAAAAAAAATTATTCAAGGTAACTTGCAGCAGTGGGTTTTGTCTTAAGGACACTTCAAAATTGACCCAAAAATGATGTTTTGTTTTGATATCATTTTCCCCACCAAGTATATGGACTGGATTATCAAATCTTAATTATTAGTTAATGCATCTTAGGTCTTTGTGTTATGTTCCCGCCTAAGTAGGTTATAGATTTTTATGCCCCGTAATCGAAGATTCGGGGATATATAGTTTTTGCCCTGTCCATTCATTCATCTGTCTGTATGTTTGTCTGTTTGTCCACAAAAACTTCAACCTTGTCAATAACGTATCATAATAAAAAGTGTGAATTAACAAGTATACAAAGATCACCATGACTTACTTTTTGAAGTTTCGTGGCTGATCGCTTCAAAATATTTTAATTCATTGTTTTGGATATTGAGAGGTTTAAAATCATTAAAGCTTGTAAGATCATGCATCTTGGGGTCTTGAAACATGTTAATGAAAAAGTAGATCACAGTGACCTACTTTATTTTATTTTGTTGGTATTCATTTTCAAATTATATTAGATGTGTGTTTTGGACACAGTGATGCCTGAATCACCCAACCTTACTGATCATTTGATGCGTCCTTGGACCTTGAAACATATTTATTAAAAATATGTTATATGGGCCCTTTTTCGGAATTTTATGGCTATATTTGTATTTTTTCATACCATATGGCTTAGAATCATCAAAATTGGGAACTTAATGCCTTTTAGGACCGAAAAGTGTGTGTCTCGAAAAGTAGGTTACCGTGAATTCTCTTGGAATTTCATGACAATACGTGTATCTATAAATATTGCAGGTAATAAGAGAGTCAGTAGGTCAATCATAAAGTGGATCATGGCGACTTACTATAGATATACCTATGCCTATATCGCAATATTTCAGATAATGAGAGGCTATAAATCGTCAAATTTCATCAATTGATGTACTTAGGTCAATGGATTGTGTCAACTAAAAAGGAAGTCTCAGCAACCTATTTCAGGATTTTATAGTTGTATCGAGGTATAAAAAAAATTGAACTATGATTCTAGGTTCCACTTGGGTCCTTGCAATTGGATTGACACATATTCATGTGCTTTAATTTTGACATTTTATAACTTCATTTGCTGCATCGTTGGTCCTCAATCGGCAATCCTCGGCTAACTCCGCTACGCTCCTTTCGAGGTACGAACCATTCGAGAAACTCCGAGTGCATAGTTGGTCCTTGGAGTGTGTTAACCTAAAAATAGTTCATGGTGACCTAATTAAGGATTTAAAGCCTTAATACGAAGATACTTAGAATAGGATGTAACAATTTGTCAGAATTCAAGACACTTGAGCCACACTTGCTTTTTAATTTTTTTTTCATTCAAACATCATAAAATCACTTCTTTTTCATAGCTTAAATCAACCCAGTAGATCAAGAGCTACATAACCTATTTTTTTCGCCGAAGATTATCAGTATTCGATTCCTCCCTCTTCAGGAGTGGTTGCAACCCGTTTCAAGAAAACTCTTATCCAGTACTTTAGGAATACATTGTATTTCAAGGAAGTTGAGAGTTCATTTATCGTTATCAAAGATGAACAATATTTTCCCTTTCTACTCAGCCTCCATTCATTTGAACCGAGCACTTTTCACAACAGGCCTTGAACTATTACTTAGTCATAGAAACTCTTGTCACTTTATTCTGCTCTTCGTACTCAGTTTGAATTCAGCGTCCTACAAACTTCAAAGATAAATATAATACAGCTGAAATTAATGCACAAGATATGCGTGCATCGGATTGTTTAAATGCAAATCAAGCTTGTTAAAAGTTCTTTATCATTTCCATGATACTGCTACAAATTGCTAAAATTTATCATTTTTCTCTGTTGAAAACATCTGTGTGGAATATGAATCCAGCATTTCTCCTCGGGAGTTCGAACATAATCATAAATTTCTGCCCTCAATTTGAAAATCTTCATGCCTAATTTCAAAAGAGAAATCGGCCATATCATTTTTCTAAACTCATAAGTGTGTCTCAAATTATGAATGTGTATCCTTTCATTACCAATTGCAAAATTCATGGAGGTCTTCTTTCTTGTTTAAGCTAAGATGAAATTAATTATAAAAGGCTTGCTCATACGAGGTATATGTATTTTCATTTCTTAAGTTCAATTCGAAAATGATTTTTGGAAATGAATAAACAAATTAACCCAAGGCGAAAGTCAAGACTCAAAACTGTTCACTGCATATCCATGGGAAATATTTTGACTTCTGATTATTTCTAGACAGTGAACTCTAAATAGTTTCAATTGCTTACGTTAACAAAATAAATATATTCTGTTTCAAAATCAATTTAAAATCTTGAATCTGAAATTCTGTATACTAGGTAATCTGCGTTTCTTCAAAAAGAA